AAGAAAAGAAAAAAAACCAATAAGGAAAAGTCAAAAGTCAGGCAGGGCCCGACTTTATGATACCCTACACCACTAGGCATATTTAGCAGAGTGTGATGATGGTATGAGCCACCATAACAGCCGATGGTCGCTCTCTGCTGGTATTAATCTACCGTGACATCAGAATAAATGCCGAATATTATAGCGAAAATGTTCTGGAGGGTGTATTAAAGCCTTGGGCAAGCAAACATTTTGGCCGCAGCACCATCACACTCAGCACGCGCCACTCTAGAATGGTTACAAAATGAGGTTCCTCGCTTCATTTCCAGCGCACAATTGGCAACAAAATCTCCGGATACCAATCCGTTGGACTATTGTGTCTGCAGTATTTTGGAAAGCAAGGTTGGCACTAAAAAATACCAAAGTGTCGATCACTTCAAGCAAGCGCTTCGCCGGGAATAGGTCAAAATACCGCAGAGAAACAATCGGGCAATGTGTGACGGTTTCATTTACCGTTGGAAGGCCATAATTCGTGCAAAAGCTGAACAATTCGAACAAATCTCAACTTATTCTAAAATTTGATGCTATTTCCGACATTTTTTACTTTCATTCAAAAAATTTTTTTTAAAAAATGGCGTTTGATTTACATGCTTCTAGACTGAATTCGGTCGGATGTGCAAAAATTCAGGTCATTTGAACTGATATTGGTCATTTGGTGCACAATTATCCCGAAATCGGAGGATGATATATATGGCAGCTATATCCAAATCTGAACCGATCTTGAAAAAAATTGGCAGAGGTATTTCTGGGATGTATCTGATATCTGGTATTAAATATCATTCTTCTGGAGTGCATATTACGAATGTGAGGAACTTTAAGACCAAATCGGAAAAAACATATATATATGGGAGCTATAGGTATCTCTGCCCCGATTTTCCCCAAATGTTATATACTTGCTTCAAGACTGAATTCGGTCAAATGTGCCAAAATTCAGGACATTTGGACCGGTATTGGAAATTTAGTGCAGAATTAATCCGAAATCGGTTAAAGATATACATGGGAGCTATATCCAAATCTGAATCGATCTTGATAAAATTTAACGAAGGTATTTTTGAGCTAAATTTGATATATTTCTCCAAATATCGTTGTTACAGAGTGCATATTACGGCTGCGGAGGACAAAACTAACAAATCGGATGAACAATATATATGGGAGCTATAGCTATATCTAAACCGATTTTCACCAAATTTGATGTACTTATTTCTTGGCTCAATTTGATCGTAAGTGTCAAATTCCATACCATTTGGGCCAATATTACACGTTCGGTGCACAAAAAAAGGCAAATCGGACGAAGATATATATGGGAGCTATGTCTAATTTTTGACCGATTCTCACCAATTTCAATAGGGTTCGTCCTTGCGATAAAAAAATAACTTGTGCAAAATTTCATCTGGATTGGGAAATAAATGCGACCTGTACTTTGCTTACAAAAATACATGGACAGACAGACGGAGGGACATGCATAAATCGACCCTGTTGCAAACAAATGCCCTTACCCACTGTATGTGGTGTAGGGTCTAAAAATACAAAACTCGACGAGGTAAAATACAAATATGCCGGGACTTGACAAACTTTTTTTGTTGATTTCATTTACCTTTTAGAAAAAATTTATTTTTTATGGGCGGGCATTAAACCGCCTCACAAGTTTGTAATGAACTCTATCTTTCAAAGAATATTTTTTTTAAAAAAAAAAAAAAAGATTCATATTTTTTTTTTAATTTTTGAGGAGCCAGACTTAATTTTTTTTTTTTTTTTTTGAAAAATTTTTAAACCTCCAAAAATTCAAATTTTATAGAGCCATAGTTGCAGATTTCATAAGAAAGTTCTTTAAAGCTAAATACATGATTTTTTATAAATTATTAACAATAAACTAGAATTTTCAAAGAATCACTTTTTCGAAAACAAAAGACTTAAGACGCGAACCCTTTTTCACTCAATTTCAAAAATTTTCATCTGCCCCCCAAAAGTCTACCGGTTTAATGCGGAACGTTTTGTTTTGTATGTTAATATGTGTAATTATGTGTGGAAATACTGCACACTCGCACATATGGCTGGACACTAACACATACATGTGTATGTGTATCATTTTTATATGGGAGGTTTGTTTGTTCATTTAACATTTTATGAATAGTTTTTTTTAAGCGTCGCTCAGCTTGAAGGTAATAAACGTTTTTTTAGTTTGTTGATGTTTTTGCTGTTGTTGCTGTTGTTTTTTTTATGGAAGTTCCCATTAAATCCAAAGGCTTGTTCGCATTGTTAGATCATAGCCGGGAGTTGTGTTTTTTGTGCGATTATTTTTTTTTCTTCTTTTTTTTTGCAATTCGAATTATAAAAACAAACAAAACCGAATAAAGCCCATTGTTCGTTAACGACCAAAGCGATAAAAGGTCAATGTAAAGTTACGTCTAAAACTGTGACACTGCTCCAATTGTGCTATGTGGTGAACCAATTCACGTAATCGGTCTTTTTGATTCCACTTCTTGCCGTCCTGCAATGGGTTAAAAACTTGTTTAAATTTTGTGTGTGAGTTTTTTTTTCGAATTCCATTGAATCAACAAAGCATTGCAAGCAACATCCGCCACACCAAATAAAATTCGTCACTTCACAGCCAGCTGAATGGGTGTCATTGTATTGATGAATATGCATAAGAAAATTGTATGGATTCGAAAATTAATACAAAAAATATATGGGTAAAAGAAATTATCACATAAAATAAAAAAGTTTGAAAAAATACTTTTTAAAAAATCCACGTTTTGTGGTTCAATGGTCCTTGAAAATATTCTTTAAAAACCCCAAGTTTATTGGTCTAAGCGCTTTTGAAAAAATATTCTTCGAAAAATCCACGTTTATTGGTCTGAAGGTCCTTGAAACAAAATATTCTATAAAAGTCAATTTTTATTTGTCTGAAGGTCCTTGAGAAAAATATTCTATAAAAATTAATTTTTTTTTTTGACCGAAGATCCTTGAGGAGAAATATTCTTTAAAAATCAATTTTTTTTGTCCGAAGATCCTTGAGGAAAAATCTTCTTAATAAATCTATTTTATTTGTCTGAAGGTCCTTGAGAAAATTATTCTTTAAAAATCAATTAGGTTCTTGAAAAAAATATTATTTTAAAAATCCACGTTTATTGGTCTTTTGGTCCTTGAACATTTTTCTTTTAAAAATCCACGTTTATTGGTCTTTTGGTCCTTGAACATTTTTCTTTTAAAAATCCACGTTTATTGGTCTGAAGGTCCTTGAAAAAATATTCTTTGAAAAAATCCACGTTTATTGGTCTGAAGGTCCTTGAAAAAATATTCTTTGAAAAAATCCACGTTTATTGGTCTGAAGGTCCTTGAAAAAATATTCTTTGAAAAAATCCACGTTTATTGGTCCTTTAAAAATATTCTTTGAAAAAATCCACGTTTATTGGTCCTTTAAAAATATTCTTTGAAAAAATCCACGTTTATTGGTCCTTTAAAAATATTCTTTGAAAAAATCCACGTTTATTGGTCCTTTAAAAATATTCTTTAAAAAATCCACGTTTATTGATCTTTAGGTTCTTGAAAAAATATTATTTTAAAAATCCACGTTTATTGGTCCTTTAAAAATATTCTTTGAAAAAATCCACGTTTATTGGTCCTTTAAAAATATTCTTTGAAAAAATCCACGTTTATTGGTCCTTTAAAAATATTCTTTAAAAAATCCACGTTCATTGGTCTCTTGGTCCTTGGAAAATATTCTTTAAAAAATCCACGTTTATTGGTCTTTTGGTCCTTGGAAAATATTCTTTAAAAAATCCACTTTTATTGGTTCAATGGTCCATGAAAAAAATTCTTTAAAACCCAGGTTTATTGGTCTTTTGGTCCTTGAAAAAACCTTCTCTAAAAATACACTTTCATTGGTTAAATGGTCCTTGGAAAAATATTCTTTAAAAAATGGTCCTTGAAAAAAATTCTTTAAAACTCCAGATTTATTGATCTTTTTTCCTTGAAAAAAACCTTATCTAAGAATACACTTTTATTGGTTAAATAGTCCTTCAAAAGTTTTGCTTTAAAAAGTCCACTTCTATTGGTTAATTAGGCCTTCGAATATGCTTTAAAAATCCAAGTTTATTGGTCACTTGAATCTTGAAAAAAAAAAATTTCAAAACCTGAAACCTATGTCGGGGATGTACCAGAATAAATGGACCGATCTCTACCATCTTAATAACAGATCTTGTGTTGATGGAAATATTGAGATGTACCAAGTCTGAATGAAATCTGATGTTGATTTCGAGTTTTATGAGCTTCATGAATATTTAAAATTGTGGTCCCAGAAGGAGTGAACCGAAATATCCCCTTGATTAATAAAAATATTTTGATGTGTGTAATTTGAAGACACTATAACACATACATTACATTTTATAAAAGTTATAATTATTTAAATTTTTGACCCTTTGTGAAGAAGGTACTTGATGGAGTGGAGCTATACTATCTATTTTCGCACATGACTTAAGAAGATATTAGGATTCGTAAAGTTGGGGCAAAATCGGATTATCCTTTCACTTTCTGTGCAGTAGATTATTTTATTTTAAAATGTTAACATTTTGTGTGGGAGGTACTAGAAGGAGTGAACCGATATTGCCCATCTCTGAACTCGCTAAATCGACCCCAAATATCCTGAAACAAATTTAGTCCAAAGAGACCTAGGTTCTAAAACCGTTATTTCGATGAGGTACATTTTGACCGTATCAAATGATATATATCCTGTCTAGCCATATCGCTGAGGGTATAAAAAGTCCACGGTTAAAGCTATACAAATTTTCACAAAATAAACAATTATATTGAAGTCTCTTTTGAACGTGCTCTTAAAATAAAAAGAATCTCCAGAAATTGCTCTAAAACACCATGATTATGGCTGTTAAGAATCTTCAGATATAGTCTAAAAAATCCACTTAATTTACATCAATTAATTTTAAAAATTTCATACCTATTTCCAGTTAAATCTCCCGCTGCAGCTTGACCGCACACATAATCAGACGGAAACCCCTCTACGACAATATGCTACTAAACTAGGAGTACCCAAAGATTTTCCTCACAAACACCACCACAACAAACGCCAACAAAGAATTTCACAAAATCACACAAAATGCCAAGAAAACTTTTAAAATTCCTCATAATATTCGACAACACTTCATTGCTCTACTTCCCCGGGCAATTTCTATCGGGTCGTGTCCTCTTAGAGCTGCAAGATGATACACCGGCGTTGGGTTTACATTTTCATGTCGTGGGTGAGGGTGTAGTGCGGGCAGGCTCCGCACGACAAGAACGTGGCACATATGATAAGGAGAATTATATAGATTTTCGTATGCGTCTCTTGGGTGATGTTGATCAGGGGCCGACAGTGCTATCACCGGGTATTCATAGTTTTCCCTTTAAGCTGGGATTACCTATGGGTCTGCCATCGACATTTTTGGGACGTTATGGCTGGATTCAGTATTACTGCAAAGCAGCTTTGCGGGAGACCAATGGCTTGATACACAAAAATCATCAGGTGTTTATTGTCATGAATCCCATCGATTTGAATATGGAGAAACCAATATTGTCGGTAAGTTCTTCATTGAGTGCGAGGAACATAATATTTTATTTGTTGTTTTTCTTATTCATTTTTGTTACTTACATTTTTAGCAACCCTTCACCTGTGAGGTGGAACACAAAATGGGTGTGGCCTGTGTGGGCGGTGGTCTGGTCAAATGTCGTGTAGCTTTAGATCGTGGTGGTTATGTGCCCGGCGAAAGTGTCCTGGTAACGGCCTTTATTTCCAATCACAGTAATGTTACCATAAAACGGACCAAAGCTTCGTTAACAGAGGTAAGTAAAAATCGGACTGCTTTCCAGGGTTTAAATGGTGATATTTGGTAATCTTGACCCATAAATGTAAGAAATATTTATTAAATGGCTTGCTTTTCCATAGTCTTACCATTTTTACTCCCATTCGATTAAAAATATCGATAAATGATCAACGATAACATTCAATGCATTTGTGAAGTTTGTCAAACTCTTCATTTCCGTTTCTCAGCAAATCGATGAGAGACTCTCTAGCCTTTGCAAAAACGGAGTGTTGTAAAGAAAATTGTAACACAATGGACACTAATAAATTTGCCTAATTTAAATGAAGGAAGTTATGACAAAAAATTCTATGCTTTCATATTAATCTACTGCTGTATATTGCAAAGGCGGGTGAGCATGAGAGTTGCCAAACTGCCCATTTCTTTCTCTCTTGCTTTATGTTGCTTAAAATGAAAATAACCGCCTTTTTTTCTTCCTTTTCCCCATAGACTGTGGAATATCTGGCTCGTGGTAAAGTGGTGCAAACGGAAAAACGTGCTTTAGCTGTCTTAGTCAGAGGTAAAATACGTCCGGGCGGCAAGGATGAATGGCAAAACGATAGCCTCTATGTACCGCCGTTGCCGCCAACAAATTTGCATGGCTGCCATTTAATACGAATTGCCTACGATGTGTTCTTTGTCATTGAGCCCAAGTCATTAGAAAAGGAAATCAAACTGCAGTTGCCCATATTGTTGGGCACCTATCCATTCCGTTCGCCGGCCAATGACATCTCAAATACATGGCCTGATTCGGTGCTTAAACCAGATACCCATTATCCCTCATCATTGCCAATATTTCGACCTTGGTTGAATGACAAACCGGAAAATTGAAAGAAAAAAATCACGATTTTATTTAATTTTTTGTTTTTTTTTTAACTTAGATTTTGTGTGTATTAAAAAATGCTAACAATTTAAGCCGATCTGAAACGGAATTCCAAACATGGAAAAGTAAGACTTGAAAATGTATGAAGAGAAAAAAAAACTTGATGAAGTAATCCAAGAAGAAAAAAAATTGCAAGTTTTTCGGCACGCAATCTTTAAACTATACGCCTCCACCACCAAATTGTTTCAAAGTCATTGAGTTTGTGTTTTTTTATTATTTTTTTTTTTTTTAAAGAGAGAAAAAAGTTATAATTTTAAAGCAGCCGTTGGTTTTGTTTTTGTAAGAAAATAACAAATGTTGAGAAAAGAAAAAAGTATCCGGCCATACTATTATTTTTTTGTGAAAACAAAATTTGATTTATCTTAATTATAGGTACTTATATAATTATATTATTAATAAAAATATATCAAATTCTTAATATTTTTTAATTTGTCTGTAATAATCTATTATTATTTTTATTGTAATTATTGATATATTTCGTAATATTAATTAATAAGCTGTGTGTGTATAATAAATGCTTATATGTTATTATTTTTTACTATTTTCCAATACTGACTTGAATAATGATGAAAATCACGAATACAAAAATTTGAGAGTTTTTTTTAGGAAAAATTCAACTGAAAGTAAGGGGAGGGATTTCCTGTTCTGAAAATAACAAGTCCAATTTTAATGCATTTGATGTATTTTAAAATGGCTTTTTTTCTAGAGAAAATAACTATCCCAAAAAAGGACATATTCAACATTTTAAAATGAGATCTCTTAAAGAAGTTTTTGAGTCGTGAATCAGAAAGAGAAAAAGTGGATCATAAATTATCAGTTACCATATAGGAGGTCAGGCTTCATTTTGGTTCAATCTGAAAATCTAAGTATAAGGGAGGGCAAGTAAAAAAGCAGTAAGTTCGGCCGGACCGATTTTTGAAAAGCCTCCACCATTTGGAACGATTTTGGCAATTTACAAAAAAAAAAAAATAAAAATAAAATCCGTTAAAAATTCTGTTAAAATCGGTATTTTTAAGCCGTTATATTAGGGTCTATACAATGCAGTGGGCCTGCATAGGCAACTTTTGTCATAAACCATTACAATATTCAAATGCGAAACTTGAATAAAAAAATTTGGTGAATAATGTCGCTAAAATCATCAAAATTCCGAATATAGAATATAGATGACGTAGACCTGCACAAATACCAAATTTGAAACAATTCCCGTGAATAATGTAGCTAAAATCATTAAAATTTTCGAATATATGGTGGTACTGTTATATTGGGGCTATACGAAGACTTGCGCCTGCACAGAAAATTTTCTGCCGTAGGCTGTATTACTTAATACGAACTTCAAACACCAAATTTGAAACAATTCCGGTGAATAATGTCGCTAAAATCATCAAAATACCGAATATCGGGGGGTACCGTTATATGGGGACTATACGAAGACGTGGACCCGCACAGACAATTCATAGGGTGCAGCATCCGTTACGAACTTCAAATACCAAATTTCAAACAATTCCGGTGGATAATGTCGCTTAAATCATCAAAATACCGAATATCGGGAGGTGCCGTTATATGGGGACTATACAAAACGTGGTCCTACATCACCCATTTTCAATACCAAAAGTCCTGCAGACATAATACAGATTTGAGTAAAATGTTATCAACCTACTTCATTTCGTTCGGAAGCTAGAGTGATTTCCACAGACGGACGGATATAGCTAAAACGACACAGAATTTTATGCTATATATACTTTGTGGGTTCTAAAATGAATACTTCGAGGTGTTACAGACGGAATGACAAACTCAATATACCCTCAATACTATTGTGGTATAAAAATCGAGAAGTTAAGAAAGAGGAATTTTGATGGACAGGCTATTGGTGAGTCTAACGCCCAAAATATGAATACAATTTCCCCAGACCTTCTTCATAGCCATTTACGAAATTTAGAGGAGCTGTCTAATGAAACAGGTTCCACTTAGGGTAAGAAATTAGTCTATGCTTGAATCAGATATCCGCATAAAAACGTTGCCGTCCCTATTTAGCTTCAATGAGCTTCTAATGTTTAAATGTTTGCGAAAGACTCCTGCTCGTGTTGCTTTTTAAACATTTTTTTAGTTTGACTTAATGGATGTAAATATAGTAAAGCGTGGGAAGTTGTCGTACGCCATTAAAATGCCTCTCGAACTTTGTCCAAACTGTGGTTATAAGACAATTTCCCTTTACTTAATGTTAACTCCTCCATTCCGGTAAAAGTTCTTCAAACAAAATTTTTGCATTCGTGATAAAAAAATATAAAATATAAACATTATACTGTTAATGTGGTTCTATGAATTGTTCACTATTTTTGACTGCTTACACATTTCATGGTCTGTCTGATTGATGGCCGCCATTGTCGACTCTAAGCATGATTGTCCTTTGTATGGTTGTTGTTCCCGTAACATCTTCTTCTTCAAAACTAATACTCCTGTTTTTACTCTTGTGCTTTTCCATTCTTATCGTTGTTGTCATCATTGTCTTTTGCTTCTGCGGCTACATTAAAATCATAATAAATGAAATGATAACAATTAATACTGTTTCCTACGTAAAATGCTTCAATAAATTCGTAAATTTCCAATGTAATTCATGCATGAATTCATCGAAACGCACTGCAATGGCCCGGTGCTATGTGGCACGGCGATTTGTGTTGCCGGATCTTTGGATGACACAGCCCTTAAATGAATTCAAACGGACATCTATTTCACCCTCCTCAAGCTAAATGAAAATAAACATTATTTATCCTCCTGCTTTTAGTAACTTAAAACGAAACTCACATCATCAAAGGCATAAATATCCTGATAACATGAATACGAAATACAACGTCTTACACAGGCCTTACGTTTGACACCCTCCAATGTCTCACAAGCAACATGTTGTTCACAGTTTACCTCAAAGTCATGATAGGTTATTTCCTATAATAGAATGGAAATTAATTAATAAAAAGCGCACAAACGGACGTACACACACCTTAGCATCGCAGTGGTGGTGACCTACTTACATTTTTACTTGTCTCCTTGTAGGCATATTCAGGAAAATGAAAAGTCGCCGCTTTGGCCAAGGGTCGGCCATCTGAGCCAAGCTCTGGTTCATTAGATGATGCTGCCAATGCTGATTGTATCACTAAAATTATTGCTAAACCATTTAATAACATTTTATGTCGTTTTGGATTTAACATTATTCTAAACTTTTTTCTAATTCTACTTTTGTTTGTCTTTTTTTCGTGCAAAAGATTGTCGTGGAGGGTTGTAACAACTCGTCGTGTGTCCTTTCACATGTTCTGTTTTAACGGTAATGATTTGTGTTCGTTAGGGTAGTAAAGAAACAAGTGACAGTTTTTGTGTGAGCGAAAGTGGGAGAGTGCTCAGAGAGTTAATGTAACTGAGTAAATGAAATGTAAACAAAGGCAGGGTTGTGTTTCTTTTGCGAAGAAAATGATGCCAAGACTTCTTTTATCACAATTTGTTGAAGAAAATTAATTGCCAATAACCAGGGATTTCCAGTAAATATTTTTGAATTTAAAAAATTTAAATAATTCACACAAATAGCACCAATAACTGTAGGTTCGTAAAAATATTAATTCGAAGGAAAATAAAAAACGTACATCTTTTTTAAAATATTTTGTAATAACTTTTCAAATATTCTTTCTATTAAAAAAATAAGTTGTTTTAAACTTTTGTGAGAATATTGAATGCTTTAACCATACATAGGTACTAATAAAATCATGAACTCCACATAAACTGCCACATAAAAACAAAAAAAGCGACGCTATCCTTTTGTCGGAACGACTCATGTTTTAGTCGCCAAGCATTGATAGCTTGGCCACTACAATAATTGGTCAGCAAAAAACCCTATTTTTGCTTTTTACTCGATATTTTTTATTTTTCATTTTCAAAGTATTATTTTGATTTTTATACTCTCAGCCATGTGGCTAGAGAGGATATATATCATTTGATACGGTCTAAACGTGCCTTGTCGAAATAACGGTTTTAAACCCTAGGTCTCTTTGGACCAAATCCGTTTCAGGACATCTAGTGATGCCCGTCCGTCTGTCTTACTGGTGCGCACTAAATTATCGAACATTCGCTAAGGGTATACATCTGTCGGCAAAATCAAAGGATACATTTTTACTTATTTACCAAAAATTTGAAAACTAAAGGATTGCGCAGCAGCATTTACATTTAATTATTGTAGTATTGGAAATGTATTTTCAAAAAAATTGCAACTAATATAAACCCTGACACCCGAAAAAAAACATTGCAGAGTGTAATTCAATATTGCCCATATATGGTTAATAAACTATGTCTCATTCTCTTTTTGCCTTAAGAGCGACTCTTACTCACCATAATATTGATAATATTTATACTACGACCATTTATGAGTGGTCTTTTTATTGTGATTTTATATATAATTGAAATACAGTGGAGGCTCGATAGTTGCTAAGGCAAAAAACTGTCATAGTTCAAGAATTTCTAAAAAGTAAATTTTAGAATTCTCATTAAATTGAAATAATAATATACAATTTCTGCGGATATGCTAGGAAATTTTAGGGGGTTGGGATAAAAGTTGTCCCTAGTTCCAAATTAAATTTTCAAAACGTTTGGTCTTATATATGGTCTTGTATATAAATTTAACATTGCGCATGAGTTCAATGAACTTGTCCTACCCTAATGTGTCGTCACTATCATCAAATATTCCACAACAAACCCTTAAACCAATGACGTCAGTTTTGGAGCACATGTTTTTTTTTTAAATTAGATGGTTAATCTTTAATCTTTATTGTACTTTCCTGATTTATTTAAATATAAAATTTACTATATATACAAAACACAATTATTTTTTTTTTCATTTACAAAAAATTACCAATTACAAAGCTATATATAAACCTATATAAACAAAAAAGCGTATTTTTATCAATTCACAGCTACAAAAGTCATACACTATCACCAAAACGAATTAACTAAATAATACGAAATTATAATCAGGAAACGTCATGAGGTTTTAGTTGGTTTCATGTGAAGCTTATGATGAGTATCCATCCTGTTGCCGTTAAAAAAAAAGATGTCTCTATTTATTTTCTAAATATTTTCTGGCATCTTCAACCTGGAAAGACAGAAAAGAAGAATTACTAAAATTATCAAAGTAAATTGCAAATATGAATACCAACCAATTTAAACCAAGGTGTATGTGGCTTAAAAACAAAGCTATTCATAAAGCCCATAGCCGAACGCGGGGCAATGCCATGTAAATGCAGATGATGGACACTGATACAGGGCGGCATGTGAAAACCAAACAAAGCATCTTCCATATCAATGCCTTTTGATATGAAAAATTCTTTCATGGCCTTTTCCAGGTCATTGACTAAAGAAAACAATAAAAAACAACACATTTATTTCCACTTGTATCAATTTTTGTTCCCAACTTACCCAAGGGTATATCATCTTTTGTCATGGTCTTTAGACTCTCTACATGTCGTTTGGGCACGGCCAAATAATGATGTGTCGAGGCTGGTTTTATGTCTTTAAATATCACATATTCATCCGTTTCCACCTCAATTTCAGCTCCCTTGGTATGGCTAGCGATCTGGCAGAATATACACGGTGCCATCGGATCAAAGGGCGGCGGAGCCAATGCTATTTTGTACAATATAATTGGCAGTAGTATTGCCAAAGTGAACACCGCACAGCAGAGGTATTTTTTTAGTTGTTTAGTTTTTGGATTCTTTTTCGTTTCCTTCATTGTTATCTTATTTATTTTGATAACCAACTTTCAGTAGTTTCAGTAGTAGTGCTGTACAATTCAATAGATACAATAATCGATTAGACGGTTACTTTTCGGTTTTTTATAGGCGTAATCGAAATTATTGTTAAATATTGAAAATACAAAAAAATACAATTTTACACAATACAAACAAAGAAGCAACGATGCGGAATCATTATGCCAACAAAGCAAGATTTTGCATATTTTATGAATTGTAGGTTAGAACGAATAAAGGATGGGTCAACGTTTTGTTTAAAACAAAAAATGAAGATAATTTGTATTTATTACATATATATACTACAGAAATTAATAAATTTAATAATACATATGTTTTCAATAGGCATTCAAGATAAAAACAATAATTTTGGAGGATTTAAAAATACCTTATTTTTTTTAAAACGTTGAACAGTGTTAGAAATTGTTTAAATTTTTCATACAGCAGATATGTCCTAAACATCGTACGAGAAAAACTTAATTCTGACGGTTCAGTAAATATTGGGACTTTTAGAAAACTGTCATATAATAAGATAATAAATATTGCTATAAATAATAATGTCATATAATAAGATAATAAATATTGCTGAACTACTTATTTATTATATATTTACGAATATGAAGATGGAATGACGAGTAAAATATAACCTTCAACCATGTCAAGGTTAAAAATAATTATGCATAAATAAAAATCTTTTACGTTTTGAACAAAACTTCAATCCACCTTGGAGCCACAGTACGTTTCAACATAAATACACGTTCAATATTTGTTTACTTTCAAAAACTCCAATTAAAATATATCAATTTAGTTATCAAGGCGAATATTATTATAAATACCTCTGAAGCAGCAAATATATTTAAAATTAACTGCAAATATTGTTTCTTATTCAATATTAAATTCGTTTTTTTAAATAAATAAGCCACTTTTGGTTCACAAACCACAAACTTGGAAGCCGAGGTGGTACTGAGTCGATTATAAATCGGCGACGCGCCGCCCCTCTTTTTTCAGTTTCTAGTTGCCGCCGATTAAGTCATCTAAAATCGATTAAAACTAGCCACAAAGAAACTAGGGAAAATATCGCAAGCCATTATTTTAAATTAAATTTATTAACATTTTTAAGAAACTTTATTTTTTTAAATAATTTAAATTGATTTGTTTCTTCTGTGCCGAAATGTCGTCGCCGTTTACAACTGAAGAAACGCCGCCACGTTGTCTGCTTACAAGGGATACCTAAATCGAATTTCGCCTTATTGATTAACTGATTGTAGAAATTAAGAAAATCTATTTCAGGCCAAAGAAATCTAAAACAAATAAATTAAAATAAATCTAAATCTAAAACAAACGAATAAAAACACATATTCTCTAATTTATAGTTTGAAATGGCATAAACCAGAATTCTATGCTGCTACACCCCCATTTTTTTAAAAAATACATAGAAAACTTTTTTGACTGACTTAAGTCAACGGATAGCTTTTTCGTAAGAGAACAAAGGAGCGCAAGGTAAACAAGTATAATTTGCGGGTCGAAATAAAATTAAATCAACCCAAAATTCCTTCGTTTTTTTACAAAGAAAGCAGCCGATGACGTAAGCCAGTAAAAATGCTTCATAATCGACTATTTTTTTTTAAGCTGAGAATATATAAGAGAGTTTTTTATGGCATGTGTCATCGACAGAATTTTTCGCACAAGAACAAAAAACTTTAAGGCGACCATCTTCAATTACGGCTCATAATTTAAACTGATTAACTTTAAAGTCAAAAGTTTTTAGGCCTTAATTTATTACTCCATTTTAATTATCGCGAACTCTGAACTCCCTTTTATCGACAAAACATCAAATCAGCTGTTCTTCGACTTGTAATCGCTCGACAACAATAGTCGATTGTTATCGTTTTTAATTAGTAATCGATTAGCTTGCCAAGCAGAGAATTTTCGACGGATCGGGAAAATTATTTTAATAGGTGTAAATTAAATAATAACAACATATAATATTGCAACATTAGCTTATTTAATTGGCGAATATGTAAGATAAAGCAACAGTGAATATTTTAAACATAAATGTTGAGAGAAAAACAAAAATTTACCCGGAACTAAAGGAAAGCTGTTCGCAGTGGGCGGATTAAGCCGCATTAATTTGTTGTTGATAACAGGCAATTGAAACAGATTCATTTAATTTGACAAAATGAATGAACTTAAGGCACCCTCATTGAATTCACTGTTGGGTTCCGATCGCGGTTCCACCGATAGTCTGCTGGCCGAATCACTGATTGATGTTGAAGAGGTATGTACATATGTGTCAGAGGAGTATGAATGATTTGTTTACATTTGATGTGGTATTTGTTGTTTTTGCAGTTGGATGATGTTGAATACTCAATACCACCACCGGGTGCATTGCCCTCGTTGGAAAAGGTGTTGAGTGAGTTCGAAGAAGATTCTGACATTGCATCAGAGTTGGGAATACCAACACCCTCCATTGCGGAGGAAGGCAGTGTGCGTATGGGTGGTATAGGTGGCGGGGGAGGAGGTGGAGGCAGTATCATGCGCTATGCCATGCTGCAAGGCGTCTCAACGCAATTGACGTCTGCCAGTGATCGTATTGGTGCCGGTATGGCATCATCCTGTGCTGTGTGTAATCATTATTATGCAGTGGGAACGTCACATGGCCACATACTTAATTTTGATGCAACACAAACTCTGCGCTGGGCCCATCAGGATAAAAATGGTCAGGGAGCTGTTTCATCGCTATCCTTTAATCCTGAGTGCAATCGTTTGCTGGCTGGTTTTGCCCGTGGTCTGGTCCTGATGTTGGACACCCAAACTGGAGATATTATGCGTCAATTATTTGATGTGGTTACACCCAATACCGGCATTTTACATGTCAAATGGACATCTCGACCTGCCATGGCTTTGGCAGCAGACTCCGGCGGTTCGGTGTGGTCATTGAGTTTTACACGGAAATTAGGTGTAAGAGGCTGTTCAACGCGCTGCCTCTTCAGTGGGGCACGCGGAGAAGTATGTGCTGTAGAGCCTTTGCTAAGCCAAACTGGAGAACATCATGATCTTGATCAGTATTGCATTGTGGCTTTGGCAACATTGTCTAAATATTTCATAGTTACCATAAGGCCGAGATTGAAGGTGATAAAATATCATTTGTTACAAGGACCTCCCGATTGTTTGCCCGTCTTGGCATGGCAAATGGTTCTTATTCAAGCGGCAGATGCCACAAGATCAGTTGATCCTGTGTTGGTGGTGGGCCGAGGCAATCAATTGTTCTTTCATCAACTATTTATTTCACATGGACGTATAACGCTGCTGCTCTTGCGACACATTACAATGCAAACGAATATTCTCTCAGCCCATTGGCTGGGCCCCAAGTGCGTTGGCTGTATAGATACCTCGGAGATATTACATCTTTTGGATGTAAGATCAAGCAAGGAGTTGGAATGTATTGATTTGGGTAATGCCAGTATGGTTTATGGTTCGGCACAGTTCAAAGGTTTGGCCACGGGTGGTAATGTTTCACCAGCCTTGGCATTGGCGGGTACGCATGCTTGTTACAATTCCTTGGCTGCCCGCGGTGTGCAGTTGTATGTCCTGGGATCGAGGTCAATGCATTTGATTGGTGTCCGAACCTGGATGGAGAGGATTACATATTTGGTAAGTGTCACCGATTTGGCAATGTAGTAGATTTTCTTTAATAAATGTCTTTTTAGGTGAAAAATCATCGCTGGCAGGAAGCCTGCGATCTAGCCTTGGATGGCTACAGGGCTGCTGGTGACCGTCCCAAACGAAAACTCCAGGCCAAGGAGAGAATTATAATGTTATTCAAAGAATATATAGCAGCTTCGGCTCGTGCCCCAGACTATTGCTTGGGCGCCATAATAAAATGCCTCATTGTCATTGATGAGTTGGAGTTGTTATGGACCCAACTGTGGGAACGTTTGCAGAACAAAGAGCTATTCCTCCATCACATTACCCAACACATTGAAAACGATGACATACATCAAGTTAACCCCATAATTTCACAAGCCCTCGTAGATTATTGGTTGAAAATATCACCTGCCAAACTAGAGGATGTCATACTAAAAATGGATTGGACATGTTTGGATTTGAATCAAGTCCTAAAAGCAGCACGAAAGCATAAATTATATAAAGCACAAATCTATTTAAATGCCAATGCCTTGCATGACTACACAATGTCTCTGACCGAATTGATACCATTGATTGGTAGCGAACCGCCAGACTTGGGTAATTGCCTGCTGGTGTATATCTCAAGTTGCTTAGCCGGTCGGGGCTACCCCCAGGGTGACATACCCGAGGAGTTAATACAAAATGTTAAACATGATGTTCTGCGTTGTCTCACTTCGTTACATTCCACAACAAGTGAACCTAATGAAATGCCATATCCTTATTTAAGGGCCTTACTCAAATTCGATACCCGAGAGACATTGAATGTTATCTCGTTGGCATTTCAGGAAAAGGAGTTCAGTGGTGAATTGGGCTATTCCCAGCGCAAGCGAATTATAAATATTCTATTGGAAATTATGACACCAGAAAATAATACCGTGAGTGTTCTTTAATTTATGTAGTTCGCATTTTTTAAAAATTCTCTTGTTAATTTTAGTGGTCCGAAATTGGCTGCCTACTGAATTTCATTGCCCAGCAAATATCGGAATCATGTCTACCCTGCGATACCCAGTTACTGGAAAAAGTCCTAAATTATCTTTCCATGGAATCGATAGAAAATGAAAGTTCCCGTCTCCACTCGGAACGTGAAAATGCCTGGTATGAATTACTTGTAAATAATTGCCTCAATGCCATAAGCAATGATGAAGAGCAATTGCAGTTGGCCAAAAAAGCCCACTGCTATTATGTCCAAGAATATCTTTTGGAAAAACTACAACGTTACGATGAGATCCTTAGCTGTTACATTAGTAATCCGCTGAGGCATGAAACCATGTTTGTGTATATGGAACGTTATGCACGTGAAACAAATCGGAAAATTTACCAACAACTTAAACAGCATTTAAGGAAATTACTGGAAATAGATGGCAAGGAGACAACACGTATTGTGGATTTATATTTTCGTGATATGTTGGAGGAATTGCTGCAGCTGTTGGAGGATGATGAACGATTTTTGTTTATATTTCTCAAACAATTACAGCAGAGGAATGATGACTTGACGGCGGAACAAAGTGAGAAGCTAATTAAATTCCTGTGTAAATATGAACCCATGGAGGTGGAGGAATTTCTCAAGGCCTGCAATTGTTATCGCATTGATGCTGCCTTGGATTTAGTTATGAACTACAAACTATTGCCGGCTGCCGTATTTTTGGCTGAGAAGCAAAGTGATTATAAATTGGCATTTCATTTGGCATTGGAAATCCTAAAGAATGCCTCGCCCGAGCAAATGGAGGAATGTGCAAAATCGGTTTCGGCATTATGTAGCCGTTCTTCGTTGTCCAGCAAATCCCAGCTTACGGAAAAGGAACGCGAATCCCTGTGGTTTGAATTGCTAAAATACATTTTGCCCTTGGAGAATTTAAAAAACATAACCAAATCAATGTTGCATGAAGCCTCCCAACATGTGGATCTAACAAATCTCGTCCAATTGGTCATGAACACTCATAATGTCTCGGGTAATTTTGGTGACATCAAAGAGTTACTATTGAGTATGCTAAATCAATCCAAAGCCGAAACAAATGCCATGGAAATTGCAATGCGTATTTTGGAAAAAGAGGTGGCGGAAAAATTCCATCAACGAAAAAAGCAGGCATCGCGGGGTTTACTCATCACCATGATGCAGTGTGTGGTGTGTAAACAACGGCTGTACAATCAAGCTGCCATAATAATTGTAGGTTCCTGTGGTCATGCCATGCATGGCCAATGTTCGATTGAATTTCAACGGCAACACCACATGAAATTCGAAAACGGTGATTATGATGATGACAGTCCCTCCACATCGTCGAGCAGTAGGAACATAAGCCAGCAATTGTCGAATAATCTAATGGAAGATGCCATTATAATGCAATGTCCCTATTGTCTGTGCTGTATCGAGGAACAGCGCATGGCAATGCCTGTGCAATTAGCCAAGCCTAGTCACAATGTCGTTAATTACAATAATCAACAACTACAAAATGCAAATAATGGTAAATATGCAAATACAGCAATGGCGTCGCCGTACAAGGAGCTGGGTGTTTTGCATTTAAAATCTCCACCTAGGAAATTTTGAATTCCTTCATCTCAAATGTGCATAGAAACACTTAGACACACACGAACACTTTTTTATGTGATAAAAATAATTAAAACAAAAGCGTATGAAACAAAAAAAAATAATGGAAAAATATTTTAAGGTTATAATTTAAGTTGTTATCATTAATATCTTTTTGTAATTAACAGGCCACCAGCCCCAAAATAATTCAATTTTTCAATAGTCAACTTTTCGTATTGGTTGAACTGAAACTGGAATTCAGATATGAGCTCGCCTCTCCTTGATAAACAGTGTTTTTCTTTGGTAAACTCTTTTTTTTTTTGGAAAATTCCTTTTATGTTTCCTAAAAATTGCCTCTCAACCCATTCCTACTTTTTTGGATTTATTTAGATGCCATCATCATAACTAATTGTATTTATTTAAAAACAAGTATTTCTTTTTCAAAATATTATCTATTTATACATATATATTTATTATTTTCTATACTCTATATACTACTCAAAAAAAAAAAAAAAAAAACGAAAATGTGAATCGTTGTACTCGTGTATCCTTTACTTTAGTTCCGAAGATCAAGACTAAACCATTAATATTTTTAATTTAATTTCTTTTGTTTTTTTTTCTCTCTTTTGACAACAATAAAATAATGATCTTTGTGTGAAATAGTTTTGTAAGTTAACTTAAATATTTTTTTTTCGTTGTTGAACAAGCATTCATATATACACAAACATATTATATATATAAAGAAAACAAAATAAAATAAAAATTATATACATACATATATTTTTATGCATGTGAACACTGTATAAATGTTGATTGTTTTTTCATGGAAAGTGAATGGAGGATTCCCAGAAATCAGGAAAGTTATTAAGGGGAAGTTATTAAAAAGAAATAGAGAATATTTTTTCCAAAGCACAGGGAGAAGTACCGGGAAGATGTATAAAGTTATTATATTTTCAATTTTTTTATTGGTAAATTTAATTACAAATTGTGTTAAACATTTTTTTAATAGAACAGTGTTGGCTTGTTTGTTCGGCATACCATAGTATTTTGTTTTTGCAAAATTGTCAGGCTTTATCCCTTTATTGTAGTTTTTATAAAAACAACTTTTTTATTATTAGTGGAGAACGATGGTAATGTTTGTTCGTTTTGTAACGACACAAGTTCCCTCCGCTTGCTGGGGTATGTTCACGAATGTCAGGATCTGTCACAGAAATTAATAAAAATTTGGAACAGAGTTATAACACCCAAAAGTTGTTCTTTATTTAGATAGTTTTTCAGAGTTTATTTGTCTGCTCCAGAACTGAAAGAATGTAAAAGTTTTTACTACGATTCAACCTTCCCGATTTTCCCTTTATGATATCGGAAAAAATTGCAAAACTAATAAATTCTTGCAGGTTCTGGAACAGAGCTAATAGGTTGTTATTTGTGTATATATATATCTAGACCTACAAATCTGGAATACTTCCGTGTTTTTCGGGGTGACCAACGGCTTAGGTATCTTCGTGGCTTGGAGGGGACCTGGCTTAGTTTATCTTTTGTTAATCGTTACCCTCCTACCTTGTTAGTCCTCTAAGTGGTTCTACAGGAGGAGAGACAAAAGAGTTCATAGCACAATTAATATCCGTGAGGGTCCAAGAAATGCGGATTCTTCCAGGGCTATAACGAAAACACCGAACTCAAAGGATATTACCCCTTCAAGGGTTCTATTAAAGCACTGGGAACCCAAGGGATACGAACTTTTCAAGGGTTATATCTAACAAACACCGAAAATCCAAGGTATTCGAACTCTTCAAGGGCTTTAGAAAAACACCGGGAACCCAAGTCATATGAACTATTTGAGGCTTGGAGAACCCAAGGGATAAGACTCTTTAAAGGCTTTATCAAAACATCGGGAACACAAGATATACGAACTTTTCAAGGATAACATCTCAAGGGATACGAAGACTTTAAGGGTTATATCTAAAAATACCGACAACACAAGGGATAAGAACTTGAACTCACTTGCACTCCTCTGGAAACAACTCTAGTTTAGTAAAAACTCTTTAATCCGGTATCCCAGATTTTTAACCCGAAAGTCCGGGTTCAAGACCCGGTCTAGACCCGGATCCATTTAATTGACATACAATATAGGTATCGTTATAGCTTATACCTATCCAACAAGTGGTAACATGATGAGGTTATTTATAAGCGGTTCGGAAGTTATAGTCAAATGATCGATATTATGGACCGGAAAAATTAAAGCCGACATTCTTACCTTTCCAGAATGCTACAATTTGTGCTAATACCTTTTTCGGGTCCGATTCATTAAAATTATGTTTTCAATAAAAAAATTTTATTCGTGAAGCCGGCGTTTCATAAACTTTCCACCGATACCTATATTGCCTATATTGAATGCGGGACTTTCGGGTCAAAAATCTGGGGAACCGGGTCCGTCTCCCTAGAAAAAAAAAACCAAGTTTCCCGGAATCAGGGTAAAAATACCTACCACTGGAAAAAGTTGAAAGAGTTTTTACTAAACTACTCTGACTCAACTAGTTTTTAAGAAAAAAACTGATTTTCCTGATCTTTTTTTGGTTATTATATTTATTATATTTATTTATAAAGTTCGGAAGTTATAGTCAAATGATCGATTGGATCGGGATTTAAAAAGAAAATTAAAGCCGACACTCTTATCTTTCCAAAATGCTACAATTTGTGCTAATACCTTTTTCGGGTCCAGAGATATGGGTCTTTCTCCCTGCATAATCCGATTCATTAAAATTATGTTTCCAATAAAAAAAGTTTTATTTCGTGTGGCCGGCGTTTCATAAACTTTCCACCGATACCTATATTGCCTATATCGGATGCGGGACTTTCGGGTCAAAAATCTGTGGTGCCGGATCCGCCCCCTAGAAAAAAACTAGTTTCCCGGAATCAGGGTAAAAATACCTACCACTGGAAAAAGTTGAAAGAGTTTTTACTAAACTAGAGTCAAGCCCTACTCTGACTCAACTAATTTTCAAGAAAAAACCTGATTTCTCTGAAATCATCGCCAACATACTACCCAGCGTCACTTCCAAAGCATGTTGTTGTTGTGTGTTAGTTTTTTTTCTAATATGCAACGCATATTACCGATTCTAATAGCCGATTCTAATACCCAAATTTCTTGTTGCTACTTGTTTTTCTCTAGTTAGCTCAACTACGCATGTTTGTTCTTGTTACTTGTTTTGATCGTCGACGCAATGCATTTTTGTAACGGTAAGTTGTTTTGATGTCATCAAAACACGTAAGCAAAAATGAGGGCCACTCGATCAGGCTGAAACACAAATTTAACGAGGACAGCAAATTATGTTGTCAATTCATAAAACATAAGTATTTCAAAAAAAAAAAAAAAAACACGTTGTTAACAAAAACAACAGCATTTAACATAATCAACTTTGGTGGACACAAAAAATGAGAATAGCGACTTTAGTCATCAAAGTTCTTAAAGGACAATATCGATTTTTTCAAAGATTTCCCATTGTTAAAGCCGAAATTGCTTCAAAAAAAAAAGAAAAGTGCAACGTTATTACGTCTTTAAAATTAGTTGTCAGATTTATTCGTTAAAATTGTATAATGAAAAGCACCTTTTGCTGTATAATAGAGGTTTACAAAAATATATATATAATTTAGATTAATACACACACAGATACACATACATTTATATATGATTTCCTCCCCTCATGGAGTTGGTGTTGCACAATTATATAGGCTATTATAAAGTTGGACAAACTCATAACACTGTTCACCTACAAAAAACAAAGGAATTAAAATCAAACAATATCTTAAATGAACAAATAAAAACGAAACTACTTACTTTTCAAAAAATCCGTACTACCATGCTTTTTCACATTACGCAGTTGGAAAAACTTATAAACATTAAAAAATGTGATGTCATTTTTGGTCTTTAGGGCAGCTTCTAGAAATTTCCTAGCCGATATACGTTCCGTTTCCGTTGTGTTAATGGCCAAACGTAGCGCATCAATCACCTTGCCTTGACCCAGCAAGACTTCAATTGCAATTTCATAGGCTTTGATTTTATTCAACATATCTAAGGCAACTTGCGACACAGCACAATCTTCATTGGAATGTGACAAGAGATAGCAGGCAATAGCTTTCGATTCCATCAACAGGGAATATTCCACGAGACGGCGTAAAGTGTCAAAACTTTTATTACGTATTAGTTCATTGATGATCATTTTGCTTAGGTCTTCCTGGGCGGCAATATTGTGTTGACACAGTGATTGTAGATAGAGCAGAAGAATAGTTTCACATTGTGGCTTTTCGGCAATCGATTGGAAGACCTGGCTATGCATGTCGCATTGTTCGATTAATACTTTGGGTGGTGCAGGAAGTTTGGGTGTTGTCTTTACATTTGAAGGTTGTGCCGTTTGATTTTGCAATTCCAATTGAACCCAGGAGCTAAGGGGGAGGGAACGATGAAAGATATTTAATAAAGTGGTGAAATAAATATTTCTAGGTGAATTTTTAAAAATCGTTTTGGATGGATTATTTTATAAGGTAATGGGGATTTTCTTTAAATATTATTTTATTCGAGATGATTTTTTTTTTTTGAAGATTATTTAATGAATGTTTTTGACGGATGATTGAAGATACAATTCGAGGACCCTAGAGCTAAGAGGGAGGGAAAACGAAAGATATTTAATAATGTATTGAAATAAATATTTCAAGGAAAATTTTTAGGAATTAATTTAGGAAAATATTTGAATCTTTTTTGTACGTCTATTAAATTTACGGAAATTGTTAAAGAGCTTCTCACAACTTACGCATAAACCTTATTGATCTTATTGAAAATTGTCTCCAATACGGGTAAAAATGAGCCATTATATTGGTCATTGACCAGAGTGCGAATGACCCGCAACAAAGCCGCCTTGCCATTGTTACGCTGCAAAAGGAACTCGGTCAGCCTTATACGATCCGATATTAAAGTACACAATGATTCAATGTCCAAATGCAGATACCACATGCAGCCCAATTTGGCATCAATAACAATGTTCGGCTGGAATAAAACCCAATTTGTAGAGTCTGAAAACGTAAAAAGCATTGTTATGCCAAAGACCATAAAATCTCCATCAAAAAAAAAAACTTACACAATTCACATTGTAAAATTTGGCCATCTGGCAGCAGGCTAGGTAATTTCAAAGCAAATGGTCTTATGGAACGTCCAGCTGTTATCGGTTTGTGATACGTAACATCATTTGTAACTTCACCACTTAATGATATATCGAATAGCAAAGATGTGGCCGATGCCTGGTGATGGACCACAATGAGATTGTCAACAGTGTTTATGGCAAAGCGGCCAACTAAACCGAGGCGTAAGACATGACATTTACGTGGTGCCAGACCGGGCCCGTTGAGCAGATATACCTCCACTTCAATCATGCCGGCACTACTAGGTTGGAGTATCAAGACAGCCATGACACCATAAATTTGTCCCAAAGTCACTTTACTTTCTTGTATTTCACGGCTACCACTGCCCACTAAAAAATTTGAAAAAAAAAAAAATAAGTCAAAGACTTAGCAAATAAACGATATCCAAACTACTTACAATCCAATTTCGGCAGCTTTGTAATGGATTTTTGTTTTATCAGCACTGGAATCAATGAGTTTTGACTATCTGTCGTACACAGTACGGCAATATTGGCTTCCGAACACCAGGCAAACCATTTGATGCTTAAATTCATTGATTTAATCGATTTAACTTGGCCCTTTTCCGGTATAACCGTAAATATTTCCACCCCTGAATTCGAAATCAAGGCACACTCTCGATTGTGTACCCACACAAAGCCATATACCAAGGCTTTCACTTGGTGTACGATAATATTTTGTAACTGTGGCTGATCTCCTTGAAAATATATAAATTCCACTGAGTTTTCACGTCTCTGTACGGCTAAAATTTGATTGTCGGGAGAGAATTTAATGGAGCGTATTGCTCCACGATCGGTCATGCAAAATGAAATAACCTTGTCCTCTGTGGGGCCCTTGACCACAACACCCGTGGCTCCTCCCGAGCGCACAGCGAAAATCTAGGCAAGAAGTTATTCCTTGAGGAAGTCTATCTTCTTATTGTTGTTGTTGTTGCTTACCTGTTTATTGGAATCGTCGAAGAATACATTGGTCAATTGGCTAACAGCATCAAAACGTATTGGATTCTTCGAAAGTTCTATATAATGGACCGAGTGTTCCATTGTTGAGTTTCCTCTACAGGTCTAATCCAGTTAGTCGCCAAATCAATGCAAAGTCGACTCAGGCGAACATACGTTTAAAAGGAACCGATGAATAAAGTTGAAAGCAAAGCAAACTTTGAAATGTTTAGAATGAGAGACAAAGGAAAATTACGAAAATGTTTACAAATCAATCAGCTGTGGCAAATAATAGGATGGTTCACATTGCTCGTCATAAAAATCTCTCACTTGTTCTTCTCCCAACTAATCACTGAAAAATGATAGCCCAAAATATGTTTGCACGGTAATAGGGTGTCTCACATTCCTTGATTTAAATAATTGAATTGCCGTTATTAATGCAAATTTATCTATTTGAGCAGCTTACAATAAGAAAATCACTTCGGTATAGCGTTTCTGTGCTGGGAAGCACACTTGCGATTGTAGCAGCTACTATTAGCCCATAAAATGTAATCCAATGAACCTCCAAGGAGACACAAACGGAGTTTTTAGATTGATTTATTTAATAATGTGGGGCCAACTTTTTAAGACCAAGTCCAAGCTTTCTATCGAGCTTAGAACGACAGATCCAATCAACTAAGAAAATTGTCCTCCCATCGAATTATAAATTAATAGTTGCATATCGATCGTTTGCTCTTCTGATGTGGTCCTGATTTGGAGGACCGGGGTTGCCCTTGATTCACTGCCGAAATGCTAGCGAGCGTACATCAGTTGTGAAAATTCTCGAACTTTTGCAGGCCTCCATATGTCTGATAGACCTGAGAAAGATATACTTTCAAAGAATTTGTAAGGTTTCATGTTATTATGGAAAACACAAGATTGTTGGTTGTGACAAAATTTTGGTTTTTAATATTTATTTACAGTCTTTTCCTTTGACTAACATTATTTAACTTTATCGGTTAAGGAATTAATAAACATTTTTCAAGAATGCATAAACACTTTTTCACTTTATTCAATTTCCTCAAGTAAATACTCCACATAGTTTTCATCTTCTTCAATAAGATACTCCACATCTTCGACCATATCAGCCATCAACAAATCATCATCCGCATAGCTAACATCATTTGTCTCCACAATTATTGGTGTGTCATTGCTCACATCATCCCTGATGGTGGTAACCTTATCTGTAGCCTCCACATCTTCCGACTTATCTTTAGCTTTGTGATATGAATGTCTCTGTTCTTTAAGAGTAGAATCATTATCTTCTTTATGACATGTCTCTTTGTGTTTCTTTACAGATTTCCTCCAAACAAATTGTTTACCACATATATCGCATTCGAATGGCCTTTCTTCGCCCGTATGCGATTGATTCTTGTGTCTTTTTAAGGCGGTTTTCCATTTGAATATCTGGTCACATTCATCACACGGATAACCTATGACACCTTTATGTGACAACTCATGATGTTTCCTACTTAGGTCTGAAGTAAATTGTGCATCACATCTACGACATGGATACTCTTCTGGCTGTTTATGGACTTTTCGAATATGTAATCTACGATATGCTGAACTTTTGCATACCATTGGACAATGAGGACAGGGATATTTACGGGCAAATGTATGAATATTCATGTGACGATTTAATTCACCGGCTGTGTACTTGCCTTGCCCACAATATTGGCATATGTGATTCTTTATGCCGCTGTGGCGTCTTTTGTGAATCCTGTAGAGTGACAAGGTCTTGAATTTTGCCTTGCAGCCTGGCTCATCGCATACATATGGCCATAGAGAGTCGTCTTTGTGTATATAACGATGGGCTTTCAGTTGAATGGCATTTTCATAAGTTTTACCGCATTTTTCACAAGCATATACGGGTTTCTCCTTTTCACATTTGTGCGCCGACATTTTGTGTTGATTTAGATTATAATGAGTGTTGTAGACTTTCTCACAATCGCCCACGTTACACTTGAAGCTGTGCTCATTCTTATGATCGTCCAGATGCATTTGCAACCGTTCGATTGTGGCAAACGAACGAAGACATTTTTCATAGGTACAGCGGTAGTCTTGAGCCATGGAAAATCTATGCTGTCTTCGGTGGGCTTGCAGTCGAAAATATAGTGTGAAAACTTTTGAACATAGATCACATTTATAGGGTGGTTTACGCGTCGAATAACTGTTGGTGGGGGTCGAAGTATTCGCAGTGGTCTGAAAAAATTAAAATGGAGATTATAAGAAACAAAAAATGAGTTAAAATTGCCTCGGCTATAATTTTTATCCTCTCCACGATGAAACTAGACTAGCTAGAAATGAAAATATTTTAAAGAAAAACTTTTAACCACCGGTATAACCATAATTTAATTTTTTTAATAAGAGCTACTCTGGAATTTTTGCAGCAATAAATAAGTCCAATAGGTTCCTTTATGATCTCCATGGGTAAATAGTGTAGAATAAAACAACAAATTTGATTAATAACAAGTAAAATAGTATTGTCGGTTTTGCCGTAAGATTTATACCCACAGCTTTGACGCTTCAAACTGCTGAAGCTTTAATGGGGAGATTCCGAAACAGTTGGCCAATATTGACCAATTCGTATATGACCTAAGACCAATAAAAATATTACAACGTGTCAAATTTGGACTATATCGACTACTTCCTATACTTTATGAGTTTTTGGAAAATGTGGAAATATACATGGGTTGGCAGATATACATCATATTCACATCAGATCTTGAGTTAACAAAAATATTTGGATGTGTGAAATTCGGAGAGAGTTGGATTTTTATTTCAGATTCTTTGAGCGTTTTGTTTTTCAAAATCTTGACCTGTATGTGGAAAGGAAACAAAGAAATGATCCGATCTTTACAGATCTTGTGCTGATGGAAATATTGATATGTATCAGGACTGAATGGAATCGGATGTTAATTTCCCGTTTTATGAGCTTCATGAGTACTCAAAATGTTGACCGTTTGTGGGGGTGGTACCAGAAGGAATGGACCGATCTCTACCATCTTTATAACAGATCTTGTGTTGATGGAAATATTGACATGTGCTAAGTCTAAATGGAATCGAATGTTAATTTCGTGCTTTATGGAGCTTCACGCATATTCAAAATTTTGACCCTTTGTGGGGAAGGTACCAAAAAGAGTTTACCGATATATTCCAATTTCACAATAAATAAAAATATTGCGAAGTGTGTAATTTCTAGAGAACCGGGTGCTTATTTCGGATTGTATGATTTTATTATTATTATTTAAAACTTTGACCCTTTGGGGGGAGGTATCAGAAGGAATGGTCCGATTTCCACCATCTTTATGACAGCTATTGTGATTATGAGATGTGCCAAGTGTGAATGGAATCGAATATTAAATTTGTGTTTTATGAGCTTCATGATTATTCAAAATTTTGACCCTTTGTGGGGCAGGTAACAGAAGGAGTGGACCGATATATTTCATCTTCACATCAGACCTTGGGTTAATAAAAATATTGAGATGTGTGTAATTTGAAGGAAATCTGAAACTTAAATCGCATTTTATAAGAGTTATAATTATTCAAAATGTTGACCTTTTGTGGGGGAGATACATGAAGAAGTGAACGGATATTTTCCATTTTCGCACATGATCTAGCACTGATGCAAATATTAGGATTTGCAAAGTTGGAGCAAAATCGGATTATTCTTTCTCTTTCTGTGCAGTAAATTAATTTCTTTGAAAATGTTAACATTTTGTGGGGGGAGGTACCAGAGGTAAATTTGATAATAATAATACGAGGTTCCAAGTTTGGATCTGATCGGATACTCCCATCGAGAGTTTTCGCGCGCAGCAGGCAGACAGACAGATGGACGGACGAATATCGCTAGATCGACTCCAAATGTCCTGAAACGGATTTGGTCCAAAGAGACCTACGTTTTAAAACCGTTATTTCGATGAGGCACGTTTTGGCTGTATCAAATGATGTATACCCTGTCTAGCTGATGGTATAAAAATATTAATCTAAATAGTCGTGGAAATAATGAAATGTGAAGACAGAGCCGCTTCAATCCTAAGTTCGAGGACAATTTAAAGCACCCTTCAAATCACTCTAAATGTGAGTCTAAACCTCCTACCTCTGGAGAAAGGATAATGAAAGGAAGAAAGGATATTTTTTCCAAAAGATCATTAAAGGAAACGACGACCATGTCGATGATTATATTTGTACCACCTCAACTTTCACGTCGATAATCAATAGACCCTCAAATATACATAACTTGTTTTCTCTACAATAAATAATTTTTATCAAATTCATCTTCGTCTATCCTCCTTTTCACTATCCTGCCTCCTATCATTCACACGAGTCTAGGATGAACACAATGTAAATGAAATCTGCGATCGCCGAACTTACCGTCTTCGTTGACGTTTGTCTATATTGGTGGTTATCATCCTCCTTCGTTTGAGCTTTTTCACATGACAAATTGTTTTCTATGGCTAGGGGATCTGTGATTTTATATTCATCCAATTCAATTTTAATTCTAGGATGTTCATCATCGTCATTGCTCTCGACACCATCTTTATTGTCAAAACGTGAGCAATAGTTCACATTCTCCATACTATCTTCAACTTCGTATATTTCACATTTTACTTGATGCAAGAGTCCTTCGTTATCTGCAAACTTTTCGTCTGTGCTGAAATCCATACTGTTGTTGTCATTATCCCTATCCATAGAATCACCAAAATTATTATTCGTAGCACTCATTTGCTTTGTATTTTTCACCAAATCATTAAACTTTTCCAGCGAATTTTTACACATCAACTTGAATTGACAGAAATCAAGAATTTTGTTATAACATTTTTCACAAATCGATTGGGGATATTCATCAGCGGATTGAATGTTTTGATTGAGACACATTCTTAACATTTCGATGAGATCGACTGTTTCGAAAATATCATAACTTGTGGCGTTATTTATTGAAGTTCCATCCTCTTTTCGAATTTGTTGCACACATGTCCGGCAATACATTTCACGTTGACTTATTTTTTTTGTTGATGGTGGTGTTGGTTGTGGTGATGGAGATGCTGGTTCTCGGGCGAAACTGTAGTCCACCTTTCTGCAAGAAACAGAGTTGATATTTCAGGGATGCTGATATAATTTGGTTCTGACTAAACTGATCTATTCTATAAGACTTCGGTTAAGCTTAAAGGGCCTTTTGAATTATTTTTTTTCTATTTATTTTTATTATTTTTTTTTCTTTTGATCGCACCAAATATAGGAACCTTTAAGCACCAACCAAACTTCCTTTCATTTTCAAGTTAAGCGCCACTTACCTTTGTGGTACAGTGTATAGCGTTACAAACAACATATTTTCCATGTGCTTCCAAACAGATATGTAATTTCTATCCTGCAATTTTTTCCAGTGTTCCTTCAGGGCAACATCTCTTAAGGATTTCCAACGACGTTTGCATTGCTCCGCTAAAAAAAAATATATATATATATATATATGTCGTACATACAAATTTTAAACCAGTAAGGAAAGGTCAAAAGTCTGGCGGGGCCGACTATATGATACCCTACATGACTATGCGGATTTAGTAGAGATCCCGCAACAAAAAAGATCAAATTGGAAATTTATGTGAAGTAGAACATACCGACTATGAACCAAATAACATTGCTATAGTGCATGATATGACTTCGATAAAGAATATATTAAAAGAGCCAAAGAGTTGCTTCGCTTGGCCAAAAGTGGTGAACTGCCGAATTTGGTTTTCTCTGATGAGAAAACATTCGTTGTCCAGCAGTTTGTAAACAAACAAAGTGATCGTGTTTACTTGCCAAAGAGGTCAGCTGAAAATGTGCACATTCGGTTGGCCACCAGAACTCAAACGTCGGCCATATTGATGTCGCTCTCCGCTCGTATTAATCGATTGTGGCATCGGAATAAATACCGAAGAATTATAGCGAAAATATTCTGGAGGGTGGGGCACGCAAACATTTTGGCCGCAGACCTTGGACATTCCAACAGGACAGCACCATCGCACTCAGCAATAGCCACCCAAGAATGGTAACAAAATTGGGGCAGCGTGTGACGGTTTCATTGTCCGTTTGAAGGCCATAATTCGTGCCAAAGGTGACCAATTCGTACAAATCTTATCTTATTCTAAAATTTTATGCTATTTCCGACATTTTTTCTTAAACACCAAATCCCATGAAACATATATATGGGAGCTATACCTGAACCGATTTTCACTAAACTTGATGTACTTGCTTCTAGACTGAATTCGGTTTAATGTGCCAAAATTCAGGTCATTTGGACTGATATTGGGCATTTGGTGCACAATTAACCCGAACTCGGTTGAATTATCACCAATTTCAATAAGGCTCGTCCTTGGGCCAAACAAATGTTGTTTAAAAATTTCATCTCAATCGGATAATAAATGCGACCTGCATTTTGTTCACAAGGATACATGGACGGATGGACAGACGGACTGACATGCATAAATCTATCCCGCTTTCTTCTCCATGTTACTAACTACTATTTGGTGAAGGGTATAAAAACTAATACCAACATACCAGATGCTCCCACCACTGTTGCAATACGAGTCCAAGTTCTTTGCCTCAGTTCCTTATTGCGTCCATCCAGATGGTCCCTATTATACATGTACTCATATTTTCGAACTTCGCTTATTAATTTGTTTTCGAACGTTCGTTCGAGTTTTTCTTCATCGCTGGAGAAGTAAAAAAGAGAAATTTAATAGTTTTGCAATTTTTTTTTTTGATATCGCAAAGAAAAAGTCGGTTGTTGTAGTAAAAACCTTTATATTCTTGCAGTTCATGAACAGCGGAAATATGTACATTTCTCGAGTTTTACCTTTTCACAGTATCAAGATAATTTAAGAGAAACCGCATATCATTGTAGTATTTCCATGAAGATTCATCACCTATCGATACGACTCTAAAATATTCTTTGACAAAACGGTCTCGCAATGATTTCCAACGACCCCGGCATCTTTCTTCTGCAATGAGATATTAAAAAAAAAGCGGATACAATTTATAACAATTGGCCAAAATTCTTTCAAACTTATTTCAAAGAAATACCTGTATTTTGAGCACAAACTGCAATTTGACACCAAACTTGATCTTTTACCTCTCGATTGTGATAATACAGATTGCTTCGGTCATATATACAGGGATATTTTTTAACCTCTTCGATTAAGATGTATTCAAATGGCTCTCTGTTTGGGTCAAAATCCGCACTTGTCATCTTCATTTCACTATTTAAACAATGGGTATATTTTTATTGTAATTTGTAATGGAAAGGTTCAGAAAATTCTTGAGATCTTTGAGATTCATAAACATAAAATTTGTGAAAGGAATATCAGAATTTTTTTTTAATTTCTGCATCAGAATATTGGTTATTAAAAGGTTGAGATACGTTAAAAAGGTGTTTAATATATAAGTAAACAAAAGGTAGCCAACAAATAAACACACAAATTTATCACTACTTATTTCCTTACTATTCACTGATATATTTCCTTAAAAATTCCATCATATTGGCATATTTCCATGGACACTTTTCGGGATCCTTGTTTTTCTTAATGTATATAATAAAACGTTCTCTAAATGATCTCCATCGTATCTGGCATTTCTCAACTATACCAAAATATATTAGAAAAAATTAAATTAGCCTAAATGTCAGTTAAATCTCATGCTCCGCACTTTACCTGATTCACACAATTCGTTTGCAATTTTTGACCACGCCTGATCCTTAAGTTCTTTGGAATTGTAATCAATATGATTGTGATCAAATAAAATGCTATATTTTTTCACACATTTTATTAATAATTCATTAAAATCTTCTCCTCCCTGATTACAAATAACCATTGTCTTTGGTTTATTTGAGGTAGCTGGAATTATTATAGGTGTACTAGGAGGTCTACAAATAAAAGTTTGTAATCATTAAATGTTGATGATATATGAACGAAAGTATACTCACGACTCTGTATTCAAAAAGTCAACCATAAATAACATTCCCGTATAGTAGGGCTTCCACATAGTTCTGTCTTCGTTCTTATAGGCTGTCTTGAATTGTTCACATAACGATTTCCAGTGCATGCGACATTCCTCGGCTACAATTTTTTTGCATGAAATCAAATCATGATAAAATTACTTATTGCTTATTTAAATATTATGTTTGTGTAGTACATTATTTAAATTATTCTAAATTTTATGTAAGCTAAATTTAATTGAAAACTAAAATCTTACCTTGACTTTCTACAGCCCTGGCAATTCTTAGCCAAGCCTCATCTTTTAATTTTTCATTATCATAGTCACGATGATCCGTATCGTAAAGGAATCTATATCGTTGAACTTCCTCTATTATGGCAAGCAAGAGATCTCCTGAATCGGCTTTGTTTTCAATATCAACAATTTCACTACAAGGACAAATCTCTGGAATTTAATTTAAACACGATAAGCTATTTGGCACGTACCCAGTGGAAAGAAGATATTCTTTCAAAAACGACATTGCATTAAAATATTTCCAACTCGAGTTGGGTGCCGTCTTAAGATCCTTAACATAACGTTCACGTAATGTCTTCCATCGTAAGCGACAGTGCTGGACTTAATAAAGGAAAGGCAAATGATTTAAATAACGTATGGTATAATATTGTAGTATTTACTCGGAAATTAGAACGAGGAAGATATATGACAAGTAAAATAAAAAATAAAATAATAATAAATACAAGAAAATATGTAAAACCATCCAAGGAATACGAAATATACGAAATATTAAATTAAAGCTGATTTGGTGGGAAATTAGGGGGTAAACCTCAAAAATATCGAATAATAATAGGAACCGTTAGAATCGGGTTTTATGCAAATGTTTGCTTCATAAATCGGGACTCGGATCCACTTACCCGATATAGACAGTATAGGAATCGTTTATGCAAATACCTATCCAACCTATCCAACAAGTGGTCACATGATGGGTTAAATTTTAAGCGGCTCGGAAGTTATTGTCAAATTATCGATTTTCGGACCCTGATTTTTTATAAAACCCCCCAAAAAGTAAAAAAAGACTCATTATAGGGGACCCGATAAAGGTATTAGCACAAATTTTAGCATTATGGAAAGGTAAGAGTGTCCGCTATAATTTGGCATCAATTTAGTTTACCCCAATAATGGGCCCTTTTTTGATTTTCTGGGGTTTTAATAAAAATCCGGGTCCAAAATATCTATAATTTGACTATAACTTCCGAACCGCTTATTAATAAACGATACCTATAGTGTCTTAATCGGTAAGTGGATCAGGGTCAAAAATCTGTGGTCCCCCAAGAAAAAAAAATCCCGAAATCAGGGTAAAAATACCTACATCTAGAAAAAATCGAAGAGTTTTTACTAAAGTTGTTCCTTTGAAACATTGATCAAATTCTTTGAAAGGTTAAACTTCAGTCAAACCAGGTCTTATCACTTCCGCAAAGTATCCCTGTCCACTATTTTATTTCATGTCCTTTATGACCCTTCCAAACTTACCCGATTTTCCAAGATTGGTGGCGATTTCACGCCAAGCTTTAAGCTTGCGGCGTTTGTTGCGATAATTAACATTGTTTTTGTTGTATATAAATGGTCGTCTTTCAATTTCGGCAAGCAATTGAAATTCAAACATTTTCTCTGCGGAATTAAAAAAGAGGCATGATGCGAATTATGTTTCCCCTTGCATTTAGGTGTGTAAAAACTTACCTGTAGTTTCGATCAAATTGAAAGCCTTGTTTCTTCTTGTCTCTGATGTTCCAGTTATTTCAAAGGCTTCGTTTACCCTAAAAACACATAGAAATCAAAATCAATTCTATGAATCTTATGAAATGAAATACTTTTCCTTCAATGTTCAATATTTTACCACTTGTTTGGACGTGCTTTGCTCGCATTGAAACGCGTTCCGCTTTGCCTATTAGCATGCCTCACACAAAACTTCAAAGTCAGACCGAAAACAGAATAAACGTGTGGGCATTGTTTCACATAGATGCCAAAGCATTGGCATCACAGTGACAACGCTTGGCGTCGTGGCATTGCTTCTTATTGATGACAAATTATAAGAGACAGCGACGTCATAAATCGTGCACGCCCCTGACATTCTTTTTCAATAATGCAAAAACACTAACAAACAAACAAATTACCGTGTCTTTGTTAAAAACATGATATCTAAAATCGTGTATTAGTTGTCACAATGAAAATATTTACCTGTGTGCCGCCAACCTCCAGATGGTTTCAAAAACTAATAAAATGATGGTATTTAATATACTTTTTTTTTGAAACAAATAGTGTGTACTCTACTTAGTTTTCGATTGGTGCTGTCGCCGGTAATGCTGGCACCGTTTGACTTTGTTATTTAGTAGTCAGCTGATAAATGTTGTCGACCGTTTTGTTTTGATTCCATTGTGTTGTCGGCCTTTCCCTTTTGATTCTCATCTTTATTGAGATTTTCTTTCTGTGCTGTCTTTCTTTTCAGTGTTGCCAAGTGTCCCTTGTTCGTTAGTTCAAATTTGAGACCAGTCCAGTCCAGAGTCCAGGTGAGCTATCCACAGATACTCCAATTGAGGATGTCCAATTAGACGAAGATGTCCTTCTACGTTCGTTCCAGGAGAAAATCAAACGTCAGCTTCAATGTAAAGGCACACACCAAAGTTCATAAAAATGCAATCCAAAAGGGATATGTTTTGCTTTGATCATCGAAAAACATTGCATTGAAGCCAGCTCCTTGAGAGGAGGATGCAACACGCCGAATACGTATAGAATGTATGGAACATGGTAGAAAAATACAGGTAGATGCATTGATATGCCAAATTTTTAAAATTTATTTTCAAATATAAGTAGCTTTTTATATGTTTTCTTATACGACGTCATTCGGAGGTTATTGTAAATTGCCATTTTCAACAATTTTTACAAATAAAAAAATTTTCATTCAACATTTTCAATTCCAAAATTGATTTGACATTTCATTGTCCCAGCAGCTGCGTCGATGCGTCTACCTTATTCTTCTACCATGGTATGGAAAGTGCAAGGAATATGAAAATGAAGTATATGAACAAAGGACACTACAATATGGCAACACTGAAAAGAAAGACAGCACAGAGAGAAAATCGAAATAAAGATGGAATCAAAACAAAACGGCCGACAACACAAAAGGAATCAAAACAAAACGGCCGACAACATAAGAACAGCTGACTACAACAACAACAAAAAAATATCGCATGGGATAAATATCCTCAATCGATATGTAACGGATGCTACAAAAAAGTTTCAGATTTCTACGAATTTCAAAAAATGTGCCATTATTCACGATTATTGTGGAAAACGAGAAAGATATTGAAAATATAATTGATATAAATATCGAAAGTAATATGGGCAAAGATTGTTTAGAGACATCACTTGAGGTGGTGGATGAAGTGAATCCAGTGCACGAGGATGAAAAGACTAACGTTGAAGAAATAAACATTATTTCAAGGGACCATATGCAGATGAAGAATCCTACGACACAAGAGGAATATGTTTTTGAAGAAAAGGTAATATATTCCTTACTATTTTATACAAACCTTTAATAATTACTTATGTATCTTCCTTTTGCAGGAGTACGGTAATGATTTATTCCAAGATCCTCCATGTGATGATCAGCTCCAGTGCGATGAAAGTCCAAAACTCTCGTCTAAATCACGTGGACAGCCACCCTACATATGTGGCTATGGAAACTGTAAAAGACAATTTAATCGATGGGTTTACTATGAAAAACATTTAAAGCATCATAATTGTTCGACCGTAATTTTCAAATGTGATGTCAACAACTGTAATAGAAAATATAAAAACAAATCTGCATTAAATATTCACCAGCGGAAAGCACACAATATTGGACCAGAATTGAAACAGCACATGTGCGAGAAATGTGGTAAAGTTTTTAAATCATCAACGGTGCTGAAGGATCATAGCTTTACACATGTCGATAGATCAGAACTGCCATATGTTTGCAATGAAGCCGATTGTTCAAAGAAATTTTCCACCAAGGAAAAACTTAAAATTCACAAACTGCGACATGCTGGCGTCAGGAATTACATCTGCCCACATTGTGGTATGCGCAAGACGACCAGAAATGAGTTGAAAATTCACATAAATTATCATACGCTTGAACGTACCTGGCCTTGTCAGTTTTGCTCCAAAGTTTGCCACAGTGCGGGAAATTTGAAAATGCATGTTCGAAATATACACGAAAGAACGAAGGATTTTGCATGTAGCTATTGTGAACGAACCTTTGCCAAGGCCGATACTAGGAAATATCATGAAATGACTCATACCGGTGAGAAACCACATGCATGTGAAATATGTGGTCGGCGATTTTTGCAACCAGCTGCCTTAAGAACTCATCGCAAAATTCATCGTAAAATAGAAAATAGCACCGATTCTAAAGAGGTAGGCACATAAATTAAAATAAACACGAATTAAACATTTTAAAGTGCATTAATACATTATATATTTATTTAATTTCATCATCTTTTTTGGAATTGTTTTCAAATTCATCCAATTCTAAAAGTTCTTCCATAATGAATTCTTCATACTCCGAGGAGTTTGAATTGTTGTCTACTATAAATTCATGACATTCCATATTTGAAGTTTTCTCCTCATTTCGTATGAAACCAGCTGTATTCCTTGGCAATACTTCTATGGTGGTTATATGTATTTCGTTATTTTTTCCATTAAAATTTTCCTCTAGATTATTTCTATTTTCACACGGTACGCTGTCTTCACTTATTTCTACATATTCAATATCTTCCGATACACTTAATAATTTTCGTCGATTGGTTGTGGACCCACACATATCCTCCTCAGCACAGTCAGCTGTAATATCTTCATCAATTGTCAATGGATGGAGTTGTCTGTTAGCTGATATTGCACCCCGTTCACTCCGATTGCCTTTGGTTGCTTTTTGATAAATTTCTATGGCTTTAATTTCGTTGGAAACATCGATGTCTTCCACAAAGTTGCTATCATCATTCAACTTAACAACCGAATCATGTGCCAGTGTATTCGCAAGGTCATAGGACACTTGGTTGGGATCGTGAAGCATTGCATTGTATTTTTCCAAAGAATTGCGACATTTTGTTTGGAATTGAGAAATAAATAAAATGGTTTTACAACATTTTTCGCATACAAACTGGGGATATTCATCGTATTGAACAACCGGAGTATTTGAGCATTTGGACATTTTTTCGGCAAAGTCGGGCATTTCGAAAATATTGTATTTCTTACATTCTTCATCAGTTGTGTTGGGAAATGGACAAAGACATGCCCGACAAAAATTGTCGCTCTTTGATTTTGTACTAAAAAAGAAGAAACGCTATTATCTGTTTCGATAAGAAATTGAAAAAATAGTCACCCACTTAGTTTCCGGCATTTCATGCACTTTCAGGAAGTTCATTGCATCTGTGTACCTCCAATGTGTAGAGCGAATGGTTCCAGGTGTCTCCGGCTTGGATAACTCCCTTAAATATTGTTTGCGCAAATCCCTCCAACGTTGCTTACATAGATGGTCTACATGAAGAAATATAAGCAAATGTCACCTATCTAGTATTTTGTCGTTACTTACCACTCGCTCCCAAACAATGTGCAATATTTTTCCAAGTTCTCGCCTTTAACACGCAATTGCGATAATCAGGATGTGCATGATCGTAAAAGTATTTATATTTTTGCACCTCATCAATTAACTTCAAGTTGAATTCTTTTCGACCAATGTAACTTTTAGCAGACATTTTTAAATTTTCCAAAGGGAATCCTTGGGTATAGATACCAGTGCGTGTATTAGGACAATTTCCTTTGCAAGAAAAACTTAAGAAAGTAATCCTTATGATTCGGATTGCCAGGTTCTATTCAGTTATAATTATAAAAATCCAAGATATTGATTCAAAATAATCAACTGGGTATAGGACGTAAATATCTTTTCCGGAAGAATGATTCCCAATGCAATCCGATCCGTCTAAAGCAAGCGGATAGGCGATAATGCAAAAACCTTGTTTACGAAGAGGGAAGCGTAAACACCATATAGTTCACGAATTAATTTATTCATTAAAAGGAGCAACTGAACCAGTTTAGTCAAAGAAGTCTCTTTCAATATTAGTAGAGTGCGATACACATGCAGCGCATTAAAACAAGACAAATGCCTTTTAATCAGAGCTGTATTTTAACATCACATAAAATTGATGAATAGGCGATAATGCAAAAACCTTGTTTACGAAGCGGTAAGCGTAAACACCATATAGTTCACGAATTAATTTATTCATTAAAAGGAGCAACTGAACCAGTTTAGTCAAAGAAGTCTCTTTTAATATTAGTAGAGTGGGATACACATGCAGCGCATTAACACAAGACAAATGCCTTTTAATCAGAGCTGTATTTTAACGGAGCAAGTTGAGTTTAGGGGCTGTGCTCTGATCATTTTGAAATTTTTACCACAGGTAGGTATTTTTAAACTGATTACGGCAATATAAATTTTTTGTGGGGGAAATAACCGGTTACCCGGTTATTGGACCCGAAAGTTCAGATACAATGTTCGGTTTTTATCCGGTTCCACTGAACCGATACAAACAAAATGGGTATCATTGGAAAGCTTATGAAAATACCTATCCAACAAGTGGTCACATGAACCGGTTACAAGAACCGGTTCCAGAGTAATGCAAGAAAATTGATATTTTTTACCAGTACTTTTTGAAAAACCCATAAAAACTCAAAAATGGACCCATTATAAGGTATTAAAATCTACATACCGTATTATAGCCAACAATATTGCCTTTCCAAAATGGTATCATACATGTTGATATCTTTTGTAGTTCCGAAGATATTAGTGATAGAAGTCATTAATTTGCAATTTTTTCTCCAGTCAAATGTATCTAACCTCTATAGCATTTTTAAACAGCCGGCCTTCGGCCGGGGTTTGAGATTTTCTTCTCTGGGGTATGTCCAACACCGGCTACGCGATCGCTAGTTTTTCTTAACATCGTAATCTTTGTAGGTAGCCGGCCTTCGGCCGGGGCTTGAGATTTTCTCCTCTGGGGTATGTCCTACACCGGCTACGCGATCGCTAGTTTTTCTAAACATCGTAATCTTCGTAGGTAGCCGGCCTTCGGCCGGGGCTTGAGATTTTCTCCTCTGGGGTATGTCCAACACCGGCTACGCGATCGCTAATTTTTCTAAACATCGTAATCTTCGTAGGTAGCCGGCCTTCGGCCGGGGCTTGAGATTTTCTCCTCTGGGGTATGTCCAACACCGGCTACGCGATCGCTAATTTTTCTAAACATTGTAATCTTTGTAGGTAGCCGGCCTTCGGCCGGGGCTTGAGATTTTCTCCTCTGATGTATGTCCAACACCGGCTACGCAATCCATAGTTTTCTAAACTTTTATAATTAAAACACCTTTTATTCTTAATCAATTTTTTTATACTTTTTCTTAATAAATAACGCTAAATTACAAACTATATGAACAAATTAGGAAACAAACTTAAATTAGAAATAACAATAACAATAACAAATTTAAATATTAAAAATTAAACAATTAAACAATTAAAATTTTCCTAGGTGCGCCTTCTTTTTTGAGGTGGTGCGTCCTCATCTTCTGAACTATCGGACTCCTCAGGAGCACTCACCTCCAATACCATATAGGGTTCCGCTGAATCCATTTGGAATTCCTGCCTTTGCTTTTCAACTTTACTATTTGTGGGGTCATAAAGTTGACCAGCAAAGCGCAGGAATTCCTCAAATGGATTTTTCAGATTTGCGTGACACCACCTCAAGAATATAAATTTCTGTATATAACCGTTGAAAAATATTTTTCTACGGTTATATGCAGAAAGTGATACCTTGAGGTGGCGCCACAAACCCTCTATGGTATTAGTGTGGTGCCCCGTTTCGGGATCCACAAAATGTTCAGAATGGTTCACCTTTCGATGGGTGTACCCCTCCTCATCCAAGGTATCATAAGCCTACAAAAATAATATTTATTATAAAATAAATATGTCAAGATATTATATATTCTTACCTTCCAAAAATCGGAAATAATCACGGAACCGGGTCTTACATACTTTTTAATGAGGGGCAGCAAGGTTTCTTTCGAGCGGTCTTGAACGGGAACAATAAAGCATTTATTTGTTTCCCGTTCAACACCGCCGAAAACCCATTGCCCCTCAACAGGATGGCCACGGTGGTACTTCCTCTTTCCGATTTTAGACTCGTCGATCTCGACAATTATTCCAGGGCCGCCTATTTGCAATTGCGTCTGGAATGAACTAAAGACAACAACTTCTCTACAGAAGTTGTTCCAGTCCACTGCAGTCCGCTTATCAATTTTCGTCTCCCGTATTATGTCTTTGAGAGGGCCTCCCCTCTCAACCCACATAAAACTGAAGACGATAATTTGGCAAATTGAGAGATGCGAATTATCAAAAAACGTTCCTTTTCGTAAGGAACGTTTCAGATTACAACTCCCAGTTCGACGGCCCCGAAACTTCTTCTGACACCTAAAAATAAATATAATAAGAACTTGAAATTTATAAAATATAATTTACTTACCTCCAAATCCACCCATCGCAACAATCAACGTATGGACCCAGCTCCATGCAATGCCCACGATTGCATTTTAATTGTCCAACATCAGGAATTAATCCCCACTTCTGCAATTGGTGGAGGGCACCTTCAGATAACGCTCCACTGCGTTTATAATCGAAAATTTTATAAATTTCCAAAAGTTCGACACTTTCCATTGTAACGAAAATTTTAATTAAAAACTAGCTAAATTATAACGGTACTTTTTAGATATTCCTTTTCCACCCACATTCGCAGAAATTCTTTGTATCTTAATTCCCTTTCTACTCAGTTTCGTGAAAAGGAATGCAAAAAATGACGTTATATTAAAAGCACTTTTTAATCAACACCGAATTCAAACCAAAACAGATTAACAAAAACGTTAAACCCGACATAAAACTTGGCTTCACTCATACTACTTTCATAAGTAACAACTTTAAAAGCCAATATCTTCGGAATTACAAAAGATATCAACATGTATGATACCATTTTGGAAAGGCAATATTGTTGGCTATAATACGGTATGTAGATTTTAATACCTTATAATGGGTCCATTTTTGAGTTTTTATGGGTTTTTCAAAAAGTACTGGTAAAAAATATCAATTTTCTTGCATTACTCTGGAACCGGTTCTTGTAACCGGTTCATGTGACCACTTGTTGGATAGGTATTTTCATAAGCTTTCCAATGATACCCATTTTGTTTGTATCGGTTCAGTGGAACCGGATAAAAACCGAACATTGTATCTGAACTTTCGGGTCCAATAACCGGGTAACCGGTTATTTCCCCCACAAAAAATTTATATTGCCGTAATCAGTTTAAAAATACCTACCTGTAGTATAAATTTCAAGTCAATCCGAGCACAGCCCCTAAACTCAACTTATGCCATTTTAACATCACATAAAATTGATGAATAGGCGATAATGCAAAAACATTGTTTACGAAGAGGGAAGCGTAAATACCAGATAGTTCACGAATTAATTTATTCACTAAAAGGAGCAACTGAACCAGTTCAGTCAAAGAAGTCTCTTTTAATATTAGTAGAGTGCGATACACATGCAGGGCATTAAAACAAGGCAAATACCTTTTAATCAGAGCTGTATTTTAACATCACATATGAACTGCGTCAATTTTTTCCGCACCTTTAATCATTTTTAAAATACAGCAACAAAGGTTAACTAACAATTGTTGACATTGTATACAAATTATGAAGAAATGCAATTGAAATTTTTTAGAGAACAAAATTAACACTGCGTGTGTCCGGGATTCTAGAGTTAGTTTTCTAACTTCAAATTGGGTAGCTAGAGACTTGGCCAGGATGATATGTGTGAAGACTATCGCTTTTTTCATTTACCTTTTGAAATGGTCAATATTGGAAAAATAGTAAAGAAAATCAAGGCTCTCCTTGCAGTTGTGCTGATACTTCGTGTAAGGCCGAAATATAATGTTTAATACCAATCAAGTAGTTTTACCACGATTGGAGGTGATTCCGGGCTATATCTTTTAAGTAATAGAAATAATGACTTGAATAGAGGTAATGACTTGAAGAGCATTCTGTTGGCTTCTACATAATTCCATGGAAGTGGAAGAACTTTTGCAGCATTTTGAACCCCAATAATGGACCCTTTTTCGACTGTTTAGGGTTTTTTATAAAAAATCTGGGTCCAAAAATTGATAATTTAACTATAACTTCCGAACCGCTTTAAATAACCCCGTCACCATTTGTTGGATAGGTATTTTCATAAGCCAATGATACCTATATTGTCTAATTGGGACTTGAAACTAGATTTCGGGTCAAAATCTTGGGTCCCGTGTCCGTCCACCAAGAAAAAAAAGTTTCCCGGAATCAGGGTAAAAATGCCTACCACTGGAAAAAATTTCAAAACTACTAGAGTGATGCCATGTAATGGATTGGAGTTAATGTTAGAACGACGTCATGATCGTTGTTTCCTCAGATTTTCTACTGTTTATCATTCATTATACATTTTTCGTGTCACAGTGAATCGATAATGTATACGCCATTTTAAGCCTTTGATGTTAACCACGTAAACATCGTCATCCGTCATACATCTTCATATAAGGAACCATGATAATTTTGCTTCTTCCCATTCGTAAACATTTCGTTGATTTTCCTGTTTCTACTATTTATCAGTTTTATGTTTCCATCATCTTTCGCACCTCTCTTGGAATGGTGCTGAGCTAGTTCTTCCTTGGAAATGGCTGAAAATGACTTGTTGAACGAGTCCATAGTGGAGGAAGTGAAAAAATATGAAGTCCTATACAACAAAGCACACCCACATCATGGCAAGAGTGGGGTAACACAACAAACATGGAACAAAATTTCCAATGTGGTGGGAGTCACTGGTATGTCAGTGGAAGATTGATACACAACTTGGTATTTAATTTATTTTGATATTTAGTCCAGGAATGCAAATCCTTGTGGGTTGCATTGAAAAGGGGCTACATCTCTGAATATGAAAAGCTGAGGGAAAACAATAATTCGGAGAAATACCACTCAAATTGGAAATATTTTGAAGCCATGTCATTTCTGAGTGGTCATATTGGTCATATTGACTCTGATCGGTAAGTGCCAATAATTATCCTACTTTTCATTATTCATCATTTCGATTTGTAGAAAATCCATGGAAAACCTTGAACATCTGCCTGGAAGAGATGCTTTTTGTCGAGCTTGCATGGCCAATCTTAATGAAACTTCTGATGACCCCACTTCTGCCCCAAATTACAACATTTTCAGTTCAAATATTCAACTGGACAAGAAAATAATGCAATGTACGAATTTTGAATGTTCACCCTGGGATGGGTATTCCCATGTCGTTTGCCACCATTGCTATGTTAAAATTCTAGATTTCTATGATTTTCAATGTGTGTACCGCTCGTCAATGGAAAAATTCAAGGTGTTACTTGAAAACGAACTAGATTTTAAAGACGAGGATGATGAGAAAATTTCCACAATTTCTTCTGTGGAATGTGATAATAACTCATTTCAGATTAATGAAGAAAATATATATCACGAGGACGTTCATGCCGATAATATATCTGGGACGGCAGAAGATCCGTTAAATTCGGAAGATTTTGCAAACACACAAGATGTGAAAAATGAGAAATCAAGCGAATCGCCAAAACAAGAATTTGAAATCAAGGAAATTGGTTTAAAATCCAGGGAAGTACGAAGTACAAAGCTTAGCCCAAGAAGAAGTGGTCGGAAGAGAAAACTTCATGCTAGCAAAGAGGATGATAATTCTACATCTGATAATGAAATATATTCAATTGAGGATTTACATCACAGATCAGATGATGATGATGAACAGGTATATGCTTGTTGGCATTTGGACAAACTTCTACTTATCTCTTTCTCTTTCAGTCAATTTCCAATTTTTCATCCCAATCAGAAGATGCAGAGGAAGAAGTCACCAAAAAGCCAATACTTAAATGTGAAATTTGTGAGAAACAATTTCGTTTTCATCATCGTCTGGAAGCGCATCGGCGAAAACATGAAGGACTGCCAGGCTACCCTTGTACCTTTGAAAACTGTCAACGTGCCTTTAATCGCTTGGATCACCTGAGAAGCCATCTGAACGAACACAATGGCATACCAAATGTTTTTCAATGCAACATTGATGATTGCCTAATGGAATACAAATGTCTCTCGGGCCTGAACAAGCATAAACGAAGTGTGCATAAATGTGGCAAAGAATTGAAAAAATATCCCTGTGATATATGCGGCAAAGTCTTGACGAACCCGCGATCCCTGAATGGCCATAAGTTTATACATGTCGACAAATCGGAATGGCCCTTTGTGTGCGATGTTAAGAATTGTTTGCGCAAGTTCCGCTTAATGTCCCAGCTGACAATACACAAGAAGCGCCATGCGGGCATTAAGAATTACATATGTCCATATTGTGGGGTACGCAAGACCACCTGCACTGAACTTAAGATACATATTAATTTCCATACCTTTGAACAAAAATATCCCTGTGAATATTGTTCGAAAGTTTTCAAAAGTGTTGGTGTGATGAGGACACATGTCCACCGTGTCCACGAGGGAAAGAAACCGGCAAACTATAAAATGTTTTCCTGCGACTTTTGTGATGGAAAATTTGCTTCATTGCAAACGAAAAAATTCCATGAAATGACCCACAGAGGTGAAAAGCCCTTCAGTTGTGAAGAGTGTGGCAAAACGTTTACTTATCCCTCGGGTTTGGCATCACATAAAAATGTCCATGCCAAGGGTGAAAATCAGTATGTATGTAGGATATGTGGTCGTAAATTTAAATGGCAATCTGGTTTGAAAACCCATTTGAAATTACACACCGAAGCGACAAAGCCATATTCGTGTAAGGAATGTGATAAAAGTTTTCGTTGGCCGGGATCGTATTATAAACATAAGAAAGTTCACATGCGCCAGGAGGAAGAGAGCGTGGAGCCGGAAAATATAAGCCCAACAAATCACAATGATGATGGACCTGAGCGGGGCCAGGAAAATGAAACACAGGCACCTGTTGAGTTACCAAAGTATGAAATTATATATGCAACCGTTGATGTGGACACAAATAAAATTGGGTAGTTGTTATTTGGTAAAAAATATCTTGTTCTTTATTGGCTGGAAACCATGTCCCATAATGTTTTCAAAACTAGACTAGAGCCTTATCATATTTCACATTAATAAAGCACGCGTCTTGCAATATTTGATTAGGTTTAGCCTTACAAAGAGAGTCACATATCCTCAAGCGCTTAAAAATGAAGACCTCTTTTTTTGTATAACACGTTCTTATTTCATTCTGGATGTGTCCCGCATCAATACAAAAATATTTTTGGTGTTCTATTTACGTTTGCCGAACGCGATAGCTGTAATTTCACATCAAGGATTTGTAGATATCCTTGCCCCATCCATACACAGGGTGAGATGAAAAAACTACAACCAACTTCAGACTGCTGCCATTTCTAAGCCACTCGTCCGACAACTGTTAAAATTATTCCAGTGGCAGCTTATTATATTGTTCACAAGCGTACAAAAGCATTTTAGTGAGAATTTTCCAGAAAAAAAGTTGTTCCTGATGGAATTCAAGATAGTGATAGTTTGCTTTCTATATATTTGGCTGGAAAACCACCAACCCAGTGGCTATCGATAGAGCACTCCAGCATTTAAATGTGAATAAATCTTTTGTGTCTCGTACCAAAGCGTACGACATTACGTGATACTGGTAGCGTAGACCGACGTCAAGGAAGTGGAAGGAAGAAAAAAGCAACATCAGCAGAAATGGTGCGAAAAGTAAAGAAGCGACTTGGTTGAAATCCGCGTCGCAGTGGCCGAAAAAAGGCTCCTGAGATGAATATATCGCAATATTGAAAAAATGAGCTCGGGGTAAAGCAATTGAAATTTCAAAAAGTGCAAAAACTTACAACGCAACAGAAAGAAAATAGACTCAAAAGAAATAAAGAGTTGCTTCGCTTGGTCGAAAGTGGTAAAGTGTCGAATTTAGTTTCCTCAGTCTCCGATGAGAAAACATTCGTTGTCCAGCAGTTTGTAAACAAACAAATTGATCGTCTTTACTTGCCAAAGAGGTCAGCTGAAAATGTGTACCTTCGGTTGGAACTCAAGCGCCAGCCATAGTGATGGTGTGGGCCGCAATAACAGCCGATGGTCGCTCTCCGCTCGTATTAATCGACTGTGGCATCAGAATAAATGTCGAATATTATCGGGAAAATATTCTGGAGGGTGTATTAAAGCCTTGGGCACGCAACCACTTTGGCCGCAGACTCTGGACATTCCAACAGGAATTCTAAGAATGGTTACAAAATGAGGTTTCCTGCTTCAATTCCAGCGCACAATGGCCACCAAAATCTCCAGATACCAATCCGTTGGACTATTGTCTCTGAAGTATTTTGGAAAGCAAGGTTGGCACTAAAAAATACCAATGTGTCGATCACCTCAAGCAAGCGGAAAATGATGAATAGGCGCGATGCGATAATGCAAAAACATTGTTTACGAAGAGGGAAGCGTAAACACCAGATAGTTCACGAATTAATTTATTCACTAAAAGGAGCAACTGAACCAGTTTAGTCAAAGAAGTCTCTTTTAATATTAGTAGAGTGCGATACACATGCAGCGCATTAACACAAGACAAGTGTCTTTTAATCAGAGCTGTATTTTAACATCACATAAAATTGATGAATAGGCGATAATGCAAACCTTGTTTACGAAGAGGGAAGCGTAAACACCAGATAGTTCACGAATTAATTTATTCACTAAAAAGAGCAAATGAACTAGTTCAGTCAAAGTAGTCTCTTGATTAAAAGGGTGCGATACACATGCAGCGCATTAACACAAGACAAATGCCTTTTAATCAGAGCTGTATTTTAACATCACATATAAACTGCGTCAATTTTTTCCGCACCTTTAATCATTTTTAAAATACACCAACAAAGGTTAACTAACAATTGTTGACATTGTATTCAAATTATGAAGAAAAGCAATTGAAATTTTTTAGAGAACAAAATTAACACTGCGTATGTCAGGGATCCTAGAGTTAGTTTTCTAACTTCAAATTTTTCATTTACCTTTTAAAATGTTCAATATTGGAAAAATAGTAAAGAAAATCAAGGCTCTCCTTGCAATTGTGCTGATACTTCGTGTAAGGCCGAAGTATAATGTTTAATACCAATCAAGTAGTTTTACCACGATTGGAGGTGATTCCGGGCTATATCTTTTAAGTAATAGAAATAATGACTTGAATAGAGGTAATGACTTGAACAGCATTCTGATGGCTTCTGCATAATTCCATGGAAGTGGAAGAACTTTTGCAGCATTTTGAACCCCCATAATGGACCCTTTTTCGACTTTTTGGGGGTTTTATAAAAAATCCGAGTCCAAAAATTGATAATTTAACTATAACTTCCGAACCACTTTAAATAACCCCGTCACCATTTGTGACCATTTGTTGGATAGGTATTTTCATAAGCCAATGATACCTATATTGTCTAATTGGGTAAGTGGATCTGGGTTTATCCCGGGACTTGAAATCGGATTTCGGGTCAAAATCTTGGGTCCCGTGTCCGTCCACCAAGAAAAAAAGTTTCCCGGAATCAGGGTAAAAATACCTACCATTGGAAAAAATTTCCAAACTACTAGAGTGATGCCATGCAATGGATTGGAGTTATGTTAGAACGACGTCGAGATTGTTGTTTCCTCAGATTTTCTACTATTTATCATTCATTATACTGAGAATCGATAATGTATACGCCACCTTAAGCCTTTGATGTTAACCACGTAAACATCGTCATCCGTCATACATCTTCATATAAGGAACCATGATAATTTTGCTTCTTCCCATTCGTAAACATTTCGTTGATTTTCCTGTTTCTACTATTTATCAGTTTTATGTTTCCATCATCTTTCGCACCTCTCTTGGAATGGTGCTGAGCTAGTTCTTCCTTGGAAATGGCTGAAAATGACTTGTTGAACGAGTCCATAGTGGAGGAAGTGAAAAAATATGAAGTCCTATACAACAAAGCACATCCACATTATGGCAAGAGGTCGATAGCACAACAAACATGGAACAAAATTTCCAATGTGGTAGGAGTCACTGGTATGTCAGTGGAAAATTGATACACAACTTGGTATTTAATTTATTTTGATATTTAGTCCAGGAATGCAAATCCTTGTGGGTTGCATTGAAAAGGGGCTACATCTCTGAATATGAAAAGCTGAGGGAAAAGAATAATTTGGAGAAATACAACTCAAATTGGAAATATTTTGAAGCCATGTCATTTCTGAGTGATCATATTGACCCTGATCGGTAAGTGCCAATAATAATCCTACTTTTCATTATTCATCATTTCGATTTGTAGAAATTCCATGGAAAACCTGGAACATCTGCCTGGAAGAGATGCTTTTTGTCGAGCTTGCATGGCCAATCTTAATGAAGCTCCTGATGACCCCACTTCTGCCCCAAATTACAACATTTTCAGTTCAAATATTCAACTGGACAAGAAAATAATGCAATGTACGAATTTTGAATGTTCACCCTGGGATGGGTATTCCCATGTCGTTTGCCACCATTGCTATGTTAAAATTCTAGATTTCTATGATTTTCAATGTGTGTACCGCTCGTCAATGGAAAAATTCAAGGTGTTACTTGAAAACGAACTAGATTTTAAAGACGAGGATGATGAGAAAATTTCCACAATTTCTTCTGTGGAATGTGATAATAATTCATTTCAGATTAATGAAGAAAATATATATCGCGAGGATGTCCATGCCGATAATATATCTGGGACGGCAGAAGATCCCTTAAATTCGGAAGATTTTGCAAACACACAAGATGTGAAAAATGAGAAATCAAGCGAATCGCCAAAACAAGAATTTGAAATCAAAGAAATTGGTTTAAAATCCAGGGAAGTACGAAGTACAAAGCTTAGCCCAAGAAGAAGTGGTCGGAAGAGAAAACTGCATGCTAGCAAAGAGGAAGATAATTCTACATCTGATAATGAAATAAATTCAATTGAGGATTTACATCACAGATCAGATGATGATGATGAACAGGTAAATGCTTGTTGGCATTTGGACAAACTTCTACTTATCTCTTTCTCTTTCAGTCAATTTCCAATTTTTCATCCCAATCAGAAGATGCAGAGGAAGAAGTCACCAAAAAGCCAATACTTAAATGTGAAATTTGTGAGAAACAATTTCGTTTTCATCATCGTCTGGAAGCGCATCGGCGAAAACATGAAGGACTGCCAGGCTACCCTTGTACCTTTGAAAACTGTCAACGTGCCTTTAATCGCTTGGATCACCTGAGAAGCCATCTGAACGAACACAATGGCATACCAAATGTTTTTCAATGCAACATTGATGATTGCCTAATGGAATACAAATGTCTCTCGGGCCTGAACAAGCATAAACGAAGTGTGCATAAATGTGGCAAAGAATTGAAAAAATATCCCTGTGATATATGCGGCAAAGTCTTGACGAACCCGCGATCCCTGAATGGCCATAAGTTTATACATGTCGACAAATCGGAATGGCCCTTTGTGTGCGATGTTAAGAATTGTTTGCGCAAGTTCCGCTTAATGTCCCAGCTGACAATACACAAGAAGCGCCATGCGGGCATTAAGAATTACATATGTCCATATTGTGGGGTACGCAAGACCACCTGCACTGAACTTAAGATACATATTAATTTCCATACCTTTGAACAAAAATATCCCTGTGAATATTGTTCGAAAGTTTTCAAAAGTGTTGGTGTGATGAGGACACATGTCCACCGTGTCCACGAGGGAAAGAAACCGGCAAACTATAAAATGTTTTCCTGCGACTTTTGTGATGGAAAATTTGCTTCATTGCAAACGAAAAAATTCCATGAAATGACCCACAGAGGTGAAAAGCCCTTCAGTTGTGAAGAGTGTGGCAAAACGTTTACTTATCCCTCGGGTTTGGCATCACATAAAAATGTCCATGCCAAGGGTGAAAATCAGTATGTATGTAGGATATGTGGTCGTAAATTTAAATGGCAATCTGGTTTGAAAACCCATTTGAAATTACACACCGAAGCGGCAAAGCCATATTCGTGTAAGGAATGTGATAAAAGTTTTCGTTGGCCGGGATCGTATTATAAACACAAGAAAGTTCATATGCGCCAGGAAGAAGAGAGCGTGGAACGGGAAAATATAAGCCCAACAAATCACAATGATGATGGACCTGAGCTGGGCCAGGAAAATGAAACACAGGCACCTGTTGAGTCACCAAAGTATGAAATTATATATGCAACCATTGATGTGGACACAAATAAAATGGGGTAGTTGTTATTTGGTAAAAATAGTCTTTTTTATTGGCTGGGAACCATGTCCCATAATGTTTTCAAAACTAGACTAGAGCCTCATCATATTTCACATTAATAAAGCACGCGTTTTGCAATATTTGATTAGGTTTAGCCTTACAAAGAGAGTCTCATATCCTCAAGCGCTTAAAAATGAAGTCCTCCTTTTTGTGTAACACATCCTTATTTCATTTTGGATGTGTCCCGCATCAATACAAAAATATTTTTGGTGTTCTATTTACGTTTGCCGAACGCGTTAGCTGTAATTTCACATCAAGGATTTTTAGATATCCTCGTCCCTTCCAGGTACAGAGTGAGATGAATAAACTGCTACCAATTTCAGACTGCTGTCATTTCTAAGCCACTCGTCCGACAACTGTTAAAATTATTCCAGTGACAGCTTTTTATATTGCTTACAAGCGTACAAAAGCATTTTAGTGAGAATTTTCCAGAAAAAAAGTTGTTCGTGGCCGAAAGTGGTAAATTGCCGAATTTAGTTTCCTCAGTCTCCGATGAGAAAACGTTCGTTGTTCAGCCGGCCATGGTGATGGTGTGGGCCGCCATAACAGCCCATGGTCGCTCTCTGCTCGTATTAATCGACCGTGGCATCCGAATAAATGTCGAATATTATCGCGAATATATTCTGGATGGTGTATTAAAGCCTTGGGCACGCAACCACTTTGGCCGCAGACTATGGACATTCCAACAGGAATTCCAAGAATGGTTACAAAATGAGGTTTCTTGCTTCATTTCCAGCGCACAATGGCTACCAAAATCTCCAGATACCAATCCGTTGGACTATTGTGTCTGAAGTATTTTGGAAAGCAAGGTTGGCACTAAAAAATACCAAAGTGTCGATAACCTCAAGCAAGCGCTTCGCCGGGAATGGGCCAAAATACCGCAGAGCAACATTCGGAAAGCGTGTGACGGTTTCATTGGCCGTCTGATGGCCATAATTCATGCCAAAGTTGGTCAATTCGAACAAATCTAAACTTATTCTAAAATTTGATGCTATTTCCGACATTTTTTGTTTTCATTCAATGAAATTAAAAAAATGTAAAAATTATGGCGTTTGGCTTTGTTGCAGTTTTTTTTTATCTCAGCCATTTTTTGTCTGAAGAGGTTGGGGATTCTCTCGGAAATGTTTCATTATGATCCATTAAAAGCCACATAGCTGTACCGCTGTTAGCTAATTTTCCCAGTCCGTAATGAATGTAAGAAACATTCAAAAACATTGTCTGTTAATTTTACGTCTTGATAATCCATTTTGTCATTTCAACATTGATCCAATCTGATTGGTATATGATATACATAAATATTCATATTAAAACTAATGGTTAAAAATACATACAAACTATATCCTTATGAAATACTTAAGACTACAGAAGTATCAAATCCTTTGGGTACTGATTACAATGTTGGGTTCCACATCATTTTTCTTTCTCCTCTTTATTTCAAGACTACCCAAACCTCAAATCAATTCGTATGCACACCCCTAAATAGCACCTATTGCTCTTCTATTAAGCCTATTTTCAATGTAAATGAGCACTCCAATAATTAATTAAGGCTTGATCTTGTGGCTGGACTCCTAATACTCGCTTCAGCTTATTTTGGCCATTTGTGGATTTTGCATGATTCAAACAGATCACTTTACTGAAAAATAAAAATATATATATTAACGTTATCTTAGAATAATACTACAACTCCTTTACTGACTTTTTCCATTCTTCCACTAATACTTTGGTATGGCGATTCAAGACCAGTTCTGTAAAACGTGTCTCATTTACTGCCTTCAAAAGCTTGACCAGTAAATCCGGCACTAAAAGAAGATAAAACAATTAAAATTGTCATTCTTGGCTTTTTGAATCAAGGTCTCACATTTATTTGGCACGGTTCCTGGCCATTTTATTAGGACATCATTTCCATCATCTGTCTCGGGAAGAAAGTCAACTCTAAAAATGGAGGCACTTGCTATAGGCACAGCAATTTCATTTGAGATTGATATGATTTTGTAATCGGCACTAATTGAATGCTGATGCTGGGCATCGACACGGATCAATGAATGCATTTGATCGGGCAAAAGTTTTTTGAGGCACATCATAAAATAAAATGTTCGTCTGGCATCACCTCGGACAATGATCTGGAATGTCTTCATTTAGAACAAAACAATAATAATAAACCACATTCCATACCTTAACACCCGTCAAGGCACAATAACACAAGGCAATGAATTCTGGTTTCTTTAGCAATTGTTTGATGTGTATCAGAGAATAAAATTCCTCAGGATCATCAAGAGTTTCATACTTCTGAATCATTGGCAGGGTAGTTATGTTATATGTAAGCCTTTGTTGTGGGGGATGGCTGGTAGATTGTGGTGGTAGCCAGGGTAAATTTCCGAAAGTAACATGTTCGGTGAGAAATCTGGAACCGGCCAACAAAAGCCATGAGAAATGCGTATGCAAGATGGCAAAGATATTTTCTTCTCCCGTAAGTTCCACCAAAGATCTGGGTGTTTGGACCAAGGGTTGTGAACCAGAAAGGCGCCTCTGTCTCGGTGAACCCTTTAACTCTTCCTCCTCTTTGATGCGTTTGGCACTGTTTTGTGTCTCCAAAGATATTCGCCGTAAGTGCTCAGCCAAGAAGGGTTTGGTATTCAACAGGAAATATTTATCTTTCATCAAGATGATTATTGAAAACAATTGATAAAATCCACGGGCCTGAAAAAAACCAAGCAATTTATTATTGATAGAATACAACAATCTTGTTTTATAATTACCTGCAGATCACTGACATGAAATGTATGACTTAGCACGTGACCTCTAGATGTGTCTCCGAAAAAGACAAAACCACCATCTTTACTGTGTGTGATTTCACAGCTAAGGCTCCGCACGGCAGCCTGTTTCACCAAGGTTGCAACATCGGGCAGCGGTGATACTTGCGTACTCAAGAATGTTGCTCCACTCTCATTATCCTTACTGTACAAACCATTTGTCAGTCCCACGGAATTACATGCTGGACATTGTTTGGGTGCGGGATCGGCTACATTCTGCGGCCCATTAAAGTACAAGTCTTCCAATTTAGTATCTCTTAGTGTTTGTGTACAAAATATTGCCGAGGGTCCGTGAGCTTCACAAAAGTGACACAGAGCAATTACGGCGTTCATTATAAGACTAATAACACATTAACACTAACTCCCTCCCAGCAACCAACCGACGCCACCGAGAGAGTGAATGAACTAACGAACAAGTGACACTTGGCAACACTGAAAGGAAAGACAGTACAGAAAGAAAATCTCAATAAAGATATAGAACCAAAACAGAAACACCGTAGCTGCAAGAGTTCCGTAGATCGATAACTGACACCGAAAGTTAACATCTCATATTGAATGGAAAAGAAGAACAATTATGCTAGGAACACAATTGGAGCGAACGACGAATTTTTTCGCGGCGTATGTTCGTCGTCAAAAATAAAACACATATGTGTATATGGAAGTGCACACAATCACGGCACCGGCGAAAATTTCGTCGGTCGCCGCGAACTCAATTAGCTTTATTTCTATTTCATACGCCGGCGACCGGCGAACAAAACAGTACAAGGTGGCCATACTTGTACGAATTTTATGTGTTTTAGTAAATAAAGTTACTTTTTACTTTAAAATTTGTTATGGTCACTCTACTATCTGTTACTCGTATAAAAAAAAAACATAATTAATTTGTTTATTTATTTGTGTACTTGCGCCTGAGTGAAGATGGATATCAGTGAATTTATAATAGAGAAGATGGACATAAGTGAAATTATAATAGAGAACGTAAAGAATTATGTGTTCTTGTATAATTCATTGTAGTCAACAAATGAGCAAAAAGTAAACAACTTCATCAGCTGTTTTATAATTTCGTCGGTATTGTGTTCCATACGACGAATTTTCGCGGCTCATTTTGTCGCCGCGTAGGGCGAAATTCGTCGTTCGCTCCAATTGTGTTCCTAGCATTATTTGAAAAAAAAAACCATTGACTGTTGACAGTGTTGCCACAAACTAAAACCCAAAAAGTCGCTAATTAGAAGCAAGTTGAGATACAGTTGCCATAGACGAGTTAAATTAATTATGAGACGACGTTCTAAATACCTAAAATATCTACAAGTTAAAGAAAACCAAAAAATATTCTCTTTTTTTTAGAGAGCATTTAAATAATTTGTTGCCATTTATGATATGATTATGATGTACTTGACAAAAAAAAAAAAAAAAAAAACATTTTAAAAATTTTGATATATCAATATTCCTAAGCGTTTATGAACCTGCAAGGTGAGATAAAAAATGCAACAAAGTCAAACGCCATAATTTTACATATTTTTTTTTAAAGTTTATTGAATGAAAGAAAAAAATGTCGCAAATAGCATCAAGTTTTAGAATAAATTTAGATTTGTTTGAATTGGTCACCTTTGGCACGAATTATGGCCTTCAAACGGCCAATGAAACCGTCACACGCTGCCCGAATGTTGCTCTGCGGAATTTTGGCCCATTCCCGGCAAAGCGCTTGCTTGCTTTTCAAAATACTCTAAGTGCGATGGTGCTGTTGGAATGTCCAAGGTCTGTGGCCAAAATGTTTGCGTGCCCAAGGCTTTAATACACCCTCCAGAATATTCTCGCAATAATATTCGGCATTTATTCTGACACGATCACGAACACGATCATTTTGTTTGTTTACAAACTGCTGGACAACGAATGTTTTCTCATTGGAAAAAAACAAATTCGGCAGTTCACCATTTTCGGCCAAGTGAGCAGCTCTTTAGCTCTTTTGAGTCGATTTTCTTTCTGTTGCGGTGTAAGTTCTTCCACTTTTTGGTATTTCAAACCGCGTACCCCGAGCTCATTTTTTTTTTCAATATTTGCCGATATAATATTGCGTTACGTTCAGCTCACGAGTCATTTTTCGGCCACTGCGACGCTGGTTTCGATCAAGTCGCTTCTTTACTTTTCGAACCATTTCTGCTGATGTTGCTGTTTTCTTCCGTCCACTTTCTTGACGTCGGGCTACGCTACCAGTAGCACGGTAACGAGCGATGTTACGAGACACAAAAGATTTATTCACATTTAAATGCTGAAGTGCTCTAACGATAGCCACTTGTGGTTTTCCAGCCAAATATAAAGAAATCACACTATCGCGCTTGGATTCCATCACGAATAATTTTTTTCTGGAAAATGCTCACCAAAATGTTTTTGTACGCTTGTAAACAATATAATGAGCTGAAACTGGAATAATTTTAACAGCTGTCGGACGAGTGGCATGGGAATGACAGCAGTCTGAAGTTGGTTGTAGTGTTTTCATCTCACCCTGTACATGTAATCTTCTACCATGGTTGCAACTGAACATAGCATTCCATGGTGAATTGATAGCAGTCGTCAGAGATGACAACAGTTGATTTAAGATGTAGGGACCTATAGTGTGAATTTGTATCACAGCATGGCATTGCAATTTTGTGTAAGAGCCATGGTAGAAGAATATAGGTAGACGCATCGACGCAGCTGCTGAGAAAATGAAATGTCAAACCAATTTTGGAATTGAAAATGTTGAATGAACAATTTTTTTAATTTGTAAAAATTGTTGAAAAAGTCATTTTATAATAACCTCCGAATGACGTCGTATAAGAAAACATATAAAAAGCTACTTATATTTGAAAATAAATTAAAAAAAAATTTGACATATCAATGCTCCCAAGCGTTGATGCATCTACCTGTATTTTTCTACCATGTACAATATCAGTCTTCGTGTCTATGGCAACCCCAACTTTAAAGAAAATAAAAAAAAACAAAAGACTTAAGACCCAAACGTGACTCATTTAAAATACTTGTTTTTCTTTGACTATTGCTATGTTTACATTTAACATGTTTTAGATTTGCCATTTAATGAATGTATTCAATGCATGTTCTATGTCTTCGATTCTTATTGTACCATGCCAAAATCTCCTTTAAAAATTAAAACACAAACTTTCGCTATTTTTCTTGTAAATATTTATTTGCTTTTTCTATTTATTTTATATTTTTCTTAAAATGATTTTTTTGTGTTTCTTCTGTTCGACATTTTTGTGATTGTATAAATAAGTTGCTTTGAAATTTGCTTGGTTGTTTTCCGTTTTCGTTTTTTCTAAATACACTGCATTGTGGTAAATAATATATTTTTGTTTTCTATTTTTCTGTCTAGAAATTTACATGGATAACAATAATTGTTGTTTTATTCTATACGATTGTTTTGTTTTCAAAAAAAAAAAATGTGAAATCGTTTGCCATTGTAAATATGAAAGTATTTGTTTTTTGTTAAATTCTTAATGTGTTGTTTTTCGTTTTGCTTTGTCATGATTTAAAATATTCTATAATTACATGTATAATATATATATGAATTTATTTTATAAATATTTGAATTCGATTTTAATAATTGTTTTCAACTACTTATTTTCTAAGGCTTAATACAAAACAAACAGGACAACTAATTATGACGTAAAATAAATGAAAATTATAAACATTAAGAGAATTAAATACAATACCTTAGATATTAAAAAAATTGCTTATTTTCTAAAATATCAGTACCTATTAAAAGTATTGAATTTAAAAGAAATAAGAAAAAAATGTAGATTTAAAGAAAGGTAATATTTTATGTCTATATTTTCGGTGTTTTACTTACTTATTATTTATCAAATTTCTATTTTTACAATTATTTAATAAGATTGTTTTTTTTGTAATTTTTATTTGTATATATGCATTTTTATATATATTTATTTTTTAGAATTTAAAGTCTATATATCACCAACGATTTTTTGAAAATCGTTTTATATTTTAAAAATATTTTTATATATTTTATTAAATATATTTCTTTAATAAAAATTCATTCATTATTTTTTGTAGGTATATTTTGTTTAAATTATTTTCTTTTAAATATGTTTAACATATTTTATTTAAAACAAAATATTTTTTCCAGTATTTGTTCCAAAATCTAATTAAGCTTTTTTAATTTAGATTTAGAAATAAGCTCATTGTTTTATGTTTCTCAGGCAAGGTTAAATTTGTTATTGTTAGTTTTTGAATGGCTATTTGTAAAAAATGTGTTTCTTTTTCATGCTTATCTGTTATATCCACAATCCCATAATGCTTCCAATACACAAAGTATTTTTTTAAATTGATTTTTTTTTTCACTCAAATGACTGACACACAGTTAAAGACACATAAAGGCTCTATTAGATGAAATGTTTTTTTACATCTGTAAAGTGAAATATTCCATGTGTATATGATTCACATATCGTGTGAGACATGAACGACTTTTCAGTTGTGAAATACATGGCTAAAGTGGTATGTAATTTGTCGATCACAGCGAGCCCTAATCTTGTGTGTTTAGTATGTCCCATGAAGCATACAGGTAGTCGCATCGACACAGCTGCTGGGACAATGAACTGTCAAACCGATTTTGATATTGAAAATCGTGAATGAAAAATTATTAAAATTTGTAAAAATTGTTGAAAAACACATATCATTACAGCCTCCGATTTGCGTCGTATAAGGAAACATATAAAAATCGAATTATTTTTGACAAAGTAGTTAAAAATTTTTGACATATCAATGTTCCCAAGCGTTGATGCATCTACCTATATTCTTCTACCATGGTCCCATGGTAGAAAAATACAGGCAGTCGCATCGACACAGCTGCTGGGACAATGAACTGTCAAACCAATTTGAATGAATGAAAAATTAATCAAATTAGTTAAAATTGTTATAATAACTTATTATTATAATAACCCCTGATAGGCGTCGTGTAATAAAACATATAAAAATCTACTTATTTTTGACAAAAATTAAAATTTTTGACATATTAACGTTTGACACCTCAATGTGTGTCAAAATTTTTAAAATGTTTTTCAAAGATAAGTAAATTTGTATATGTTTTCTTATACGACGAGATTGTTGTGATACGCATTTTTTTAACAATATTTATAAATTTAAAGAATTTTTCATTTAAAAATTTCACTTTCAAAATTGCATTGAGAGTTCATTGTCCCAGCAGCTGTGCCGATGGGTCTACCTATATTCTTCTACCATGGGACTTACTAAAAACACACGGTTAGGGCTCGCTGTGATCGAAAAAGTACATTTGTACCGTGGTAGAAGAATACAGGGTGAGATGGAAAAAATGCAACCAATTCCAGACTGCGGTCATTTCTAAGCCACACGTACGACAGCTGTTGAAATTATTCCAGTGACAGCTCATTATATTGTTTACAAGCGTTCAAAAGCAATTTGTTGAGAATTTTCCAGACAAGAAGTTATTCCTGATAGAATTCAAGCGTGATAGTGTGATTTCTTTATATTTGGCTGGAAAACGACATGTGGCTATCGTTAGAGCACTTCAGCATTTAAATGTGAATACATCTTTTGTGTCTCGTATCATCGCTCGTTACCGTTACCTTGATGCTGGTAGCATAGCCCGAGTCAAGGAAGTGGAGGGAAGAAAACGGCAACATCAGCAGAAATGGTTCGGAATGTGAAGAAGCGACTTGATTGAAACCCACGTCGCAGTGGCCGAAAAAGTGGCTCGTGAGCTGAACATATCGCAATATTCCATTCGGCAAATATTGAAAAATGAGTTTGGAGTAAAGCCATTGAAATCCCAAAAAGTGCAAGACCTTACACCGCATCTGAAAGAAACTCGACTCAAAAGAGCTAAAGAATTGCTTCACTTGGCCGAAAGTGATGAACTGCCGAATTTGGTTTTCTCCGTCTCCGATGAGACAACATTTGTTGTCCAGAAGTTTGTAAACAACAACAAAATGATCGTCTTTACTTGCCGAAGAGGTCAGCTGGAACGTGTGGCAGGCCACGGTGATGGTGTGGACCACTATAATAGCCGATGATCGCTCTCCGCTCGTATTAATCGACCGGTCGAATAAATGCCTAATATTATGGCGAAAATATTCTGGAGGGTGTATTAAAGCTTTGGGCACGCAAACATTTTGGCCGCAGACCTTGGACATTCTAACAGGACTCGCACTCAGCGCACTTGGTTACAAAATGAGGTCCCTCGCTTCATTTTCAGACCACAATGGCCACCAAAATCTCCGAATACCAATTCGTTGGACTATTGTGTCTGAAGTATTTTTGGAAAGCAAGGTTGGCACTAAAAAATACCAATGCGTGGATCACCTCAAGCATGGGCCAAAATACCACAGAGCAACATTCGGGCAGCGTGTGACGGTTTCATTGGCCGTTTGAAGGCCATAATTCGTGCCAAATGTGACCAATTCGAACAAATCTAAACTCATTCTAAAATTTGATGCTATTTCCGACAATTTTTTGCTTTCATAAATTAAAAAAAATGTGAAAATTATGACTTTTGTTTTTTTTTGCTATCACCCTGTATGTACCATGGTAGAAGAATACAGGCATCAACGCCTGGAAACATTGATATGTCACATTTTTAAAATATTTTTCAAAAACACAAGGTTTAGATCTATTAAATCCAGTGGGTTAACTCTCAATAATTTAAACGCGCTATTAACAATTTTTGACTTTGACTTTTATCAAAATATTTATAAAAGTAAAAGAACGAAATAAAAGGTGAATAATCACTTATGGGTGGAAATACATAAAGCGCATATTTGGCTGGCTTCTTCGTAGATGATCTAATGAGTTTTAGGTTGACTTAGTTCGATTTTGACCCTAGGCTCCTTTGTTCATTTCCGAAGAAGCCAGACGATGACTTAAGCCAGCCAGATTAGAGCTTTATGTATTTCCACCCTTATGTTTTGGACCTATCGAGATGCAAATGTCGTGGTCCGCAGGTTTAGGAATTTGGATATAAAGCATTGTAAAACAGATTTTTACAAAATAGCCAGACACTAACACTGTTTTGTTTTTCAATTTTTATCTTTCCTTTTTTTAAAAAGTTTCGTTTACACGTCAAAGATTTCCTTGTTAACTAAATCATAATTCAGATCTTCTTTGTCTTCTTGAACAATAAATTGACTTATTGGTTAAATATTCCCTATCGAATATGCATGTGTGTGAGTGTAAATTGAATTGTTCTCTTTAAAACCGTGGAGTGAACTTCTCTTCTTCTCATTAACTGTTACTCTCACAATTTTATACCACATCCTCACACACATACTCTTCGTTTCATACATAATCCGAGGGTACCGTTGCTGTGCTGGTCTCATTAATTGCTGCCAAACGGGGAATTCTGCGTTGCGAGGCCATGCCTTCGCCATTGGTACCCACAGGCCCGGCTAGAAATTGTCCGGTGCCTGCTGCCGCAGATGAGCTTACCGATGTCGTTCCCCCACCACTACCATCCCAATTGGGTAAAGGTTGATTCATAACGGTCAGGCCTACAATTTCATAAGCCCGTTCATTCCCAGCACCACCGGGTACACCGGTAACCGAGAGGTCGGAATAATAGGCACTGCTGGGCGCCGATGATACCACAATGGGTAAATCATGATCCTGCTGATGGAAGGTGTATTTCTGTAAAAGGAAAAAAATCCCAATTAATTAAATATTCCAAAGGCTTTACGGATTTCAAACTTACATCTCCACACTGACTATAGCCGGTATTCTGATATGATGGATTATTCGATCTCACTGATTCCCTGTCCAATTCAGCATATAAAGCTTCACTTACACCCACCGGACTATAGGCATCATCCATGTGGGTATAATGATTTTCGGCCGGCGATGATGAGGGCGGTCCAATTTGGTCCGGCCCCTCAGATGAACGGCGGCTACCACCCAACCATGTCCATACACCCGAGTTACTGGTGGGTCTTCGTATACTATCGGCCGAGTGTTTGGCTGAAAGCGATCCTCGGCCATTTGTACCGCTACCACTGCCACTACCGCGATTGTTGCGACACCACCAAGGCTGGGGTCGACCTGTAAACAGAAACAAAAAAAAAAAAAAACACATAAATTAATGAAAAAAAATTATTTTGGAGAATTTCAGAAATTCAGGTTTAATGTTTTCCAATATTTCATGCCCAAAGCTGTGTCATAAATCTTTGGTTATTTGATCACCTGGTTTTGTGCCTTGATGCGCGTTCGTTCGTTCACTCGTTTGGCCTTTGCTCAGTTCCGATAAAGCGTAAATTAAGTATCTGTCAATTCGTTAAATGCAACAGTTTTGTTATTTTGTCATATGTACCTACCAATGGATTTTTGCAACGGCGATCAGGCTGTGTGGACACAAGGCGTATAGATTTAATACAATTTTTTTTTGAGTTTGCCCTCGCGCTTGCTCCTAACATGTGGGTTTGCCCATAAGCTTGTAAGCTAATATCTGTAAACCTACAGTAAAAGGTGTAAAACCATAAACGTTGTCACCTTTGTTTGGTTTGTTATTTGACAAAAAAAAAAGAGATTAACAAGTAAACAATTTGAGCTGGGGTCTTGCGATAAGGTCAATAAGGCAGCAAGGTGAATTTATATTCTAGATATTGGCCTAATTAAAGGACCAAACAGAATGAAAGCGTTGAGCAATTCTAAACTTAAAATGTTATCGATAAAACAGCACTGGACGTCTTATCGATATATCTGCGGTAGTTGTTTTACCAAAAAACGGCGTAAATGGCGCAACGCAAGTCTAAGTACAATGAAAGCGCAACGCGTTTTTCTTCTTTCGCAAGTCATCAATAAAATAAAAAACAAAAAATATTTCAGATTTGATAAGGAATTTCAGATTTTGGGGTTATTGACTTTTTGATAATGCACAGCGCTTGACATTAAGGATTACAAAACATTTACTGTCGCACGAAGAAGAAGAATTGAACGTTTCTGCTTTCGGTAGGCATTTTCAAACTCTTAGTTTTCTCTCAAATCGCTCTTTTGCAGAACTTAAGGTGAGAATACATAAAACGCTTTTTTGGCTGGCTTAAGTCATCGACTGGCTTCTTCGGAAAAGAACAAAGGAGCCTAGGACCAAAATCGAACTAAGCCATCCTAAAACACCTTTGTTCCTCTACAAAGAAAAACAGCCGATGACTTATTCCAGTCAAAGGAGCTCTTTATGTACTTCTACCATTAAAGTTTTTGCAAGAAGCAAGGTAGAATTAACAAGGTAACATCATGCAATCACATGTTTAAAATTTCATCAAAATTATTCATTTGACAACTTCTCAATGTCAAAATCAGAGATGGGAACCTGTTTTTATGCAATGAAATTTGATATGATAAATTACAGAAAATGCTGAGATGGATATGCTTATTTAAAATGACTTTACCTTCTTAGTTATACCTTCGCAAAAAGTTTTCTCGGCAATGATTTTCTCTCTCTTTTCTCAGTAGAAGAGTAAAAAAATTCCTCTCTTGAATCGGCCTATTTTGTAGAACTTTTGTGTCAACAGATGTTTTACAGTAAATATTTGCAAACATGTTCACAAATTTTTGGATAACCAGACATATAACGTTTACATTGCAATGGATTTGGAAAATCTAATGGATTTAAATGTGCCATGCCTCAAGTAAACTTAACTTTTTCAAATTTCCCCGAATTGAAGTGCACTTAAGATAAAACTCCTTGTGTAGGAAAACTATAAGCATAATCAGACGGAAGGGGTTTTACATATGTTCTTATCGATGTGCATGTCTAAATTGTCATTGTACATGCGACTCATAGTGTTGTTTCTGATGAAAATAGGGCTCGCTGTGATCGAACAAGTACGTATGTACCATGGTAGAAGAATACAGGTATATGCCTCAACAGTTGGGAACATTGATATGTCAACAATTTTAAAATGTTATTTTCAAAAATAAGTGGATTTTTATATGTTTGCTTATACGACGCCAACCGTAGTTTGTAGTGATGCAGAATTAGTCAAAAATTTTTAATGAATTCGAATCATATTTTGTTCAAAATTGGTTTGACAGTTCATTGTCCCAGCAGCTGCGTCGATGCGACTACCTGAATTCTTCCGCCATGGTATGTACTTTACTCATTTTTTTCACAACTAAAATGTCGTCCATGTATCACACGATATGTGCAACTTTTACACATGGACAATTTGACAGTACATATCGGATTTTCGATTGTGGCCTATCCTGGTTGGGAATTTTCTCATTCTCATGACATTTATTTTTGCTAAAGTCCAATTTTTATCTTGTCATGCTTATTCCGATTTTTTCCATTTGGGTTTTAAAATGTTTGCTGGGCGTTCTATGTGTGCCAACAAATGGCAGGTTACATGTGGACAAACGACATAAAGTCATATTCAATTGTTTGGAGCAAGTTAGTTCTGGTTTTTTTTTTGTTTGCATTTTTATGCCCCCCTTTCCGTTAGTCTATTCATAATTCCACAGGTCTGCATGGATTTGAAATAAAATAGAAATACTAAATGAATTTGTATTTCCCGGGCCCGCTTCTCAACAAAATACGGCATTTTAGGTTTTTATTTTGTGTGCTACAACGGGGAATTATTTCCCAAGCGTTGATGCATCTACATGTATTCTTCTACCCTGGTTTTTAAAATTTAAAGAAATACCTTGTTATTGCGCCATTTCCATGTGAGTACGTAATCTTCTTCTTATGAAAGAACTTGTCAATCACTTGAAACTAATAACACGAAAAACGCGCTTCTTGCTTGCTCTCATATTATGATGAAATACAGTTTTTGAAAGTTCTCTCTTTGTGTAGGGTATAGAAAATTCGACACGAATATTTCAATTGCAGTTATGTGCATATTTTCCACCGTTTTTTTCATATTTGTTTTTATTCGCCATACCTAATGTCCCCATGCACCACAATTGCAAAGGGTAAGTAACAACAAAACAATCAGACGGGGGAAACAATTTCTTAACCAAAAAGTAAAGAATTAAAACATATCGCCAGCTTGATACCGTAACCTGACATTATTCATTAAATGAATGACAATTGGTACTGCTATGGCGGCTGGCTGGGAAAACCATTCAATGAACACCTCGGGTAATTGATATTGTATGTACGTACGTATGTGTTGAGAGACATTTACATGATCTCTCGTTAAGAGTCGCGTTACTCTTGTCATTGATATTTATTAACGAATTCCCTCCAGGTGGCAAGTCAGGTGACACAAACATTGATGAGAGCCGACTGATGACAATCGTATGAAAGTCATTTGGTGTTTGCGCTGCTGTCGTTAAGTCGGTGATTAAGATTTGCATGTAAGTGTGTGTGTGTGTGCATGTACATACATATTTGGTTAATGACTAATGTATGCCAATCATCGATGCTTGCGATTTTGATAAGTGGGTATCAGGGGATATTAATGGTTTCGGATAATGACTGATATTTATTTTAACGAAATTTAGTTTGATTTCATGATTTTAAAAACAAGATGATACTATAGGAACCATTTAAGGTAAAAATGCACAAGAATCTAGCTTTGTAGCTCTTTAAATTGGTATATAAATATCTGAATACACACGTAATACATTAAGACCACTTTTTGTTCTGGCTTAAGAAATCGACTTGTTTATTAACAAAAGATCAGGGGAAATTGAACTGAGTCGACCTAAGACTTACTTAAATTTCGATCCACAATTCGAACTACATTGCCCTATAGATGTTTTACATGACAGCAGTCGGTATATAAGTAGAGTACACAATATCAGATTTTTTAGGGTAACACCTCAAACTATACATTTCAAACCACACAAAGTATATATTCTTGAGTGGCCTAAAAGTCGATATAGTCACGTCTATCCGTCTGTGGAAATCAATCTAGATTCCGAACGAAACAAAGTAGATTGATAAAATTTTACTCTGATGTATTTTAGATCCCTAGAAAATGGAAAATATTGGTTCACGTTTTGGTATAGCTCCCATATAACTGTACCGGCAGATTTCAGGTCAAATTGTGTTCACAGTATACAGGAAACATCCTTGCAAAGAAGTGCCCATACTTGTCTGTGTTTTGGCATAGACCTTATGTAACTCTACCTCCGAAGTTATTGATGATTCTTTTGTTGCTGCAAAATGGTAATCCTATTATTGCTGTTCTTATAAAAACAACGTTTGTTTATTGTGGAGGATGATTCCATTTTTAATACTGCCAGTAGGTACTATCTTCTCTAATAGAAAAAATTTTTCATAGGCCCCCTATAACTGTATAAACATTATGTAACTGTACCCCCAGATAGTTGGCATGAATCATGGTACAATGAATTCAAGGTATGGCAGAACTACCTTATGATTTCAATATTTTTATTGTTCTGGCTGAATATGTCAACTTCATTTGTTTATGTGTGTGTATTCTTTTCAATAATAAAAAAAATTATTCAGAAAATATTCAAATTCGGGTGTTTTCAAAATGCTTATTGCGACGTATGCATCGACAAAATCTACAGTTTTTGTCGCGAAATAATCTTTTAGAGATATATAGTACATGATTTTGAAAAGAAGTGTTGACCTTTTATTCAGTTGTCGCGGTTTTCAATTATTTATTTAAAATAAATGCAACAAGTTGTTTGATTTTTTATTGTTTTGATACTAATTCTGACATTACAAGCCAAACAGGTAGACCTCTATACTGCAATTTTTTCAAAGTTGACCTACCTCCTCTTCATTGTACCATGGTATGAATGTCAATTTTTAAAATATTTTTTTTCGAATTTTGTAGGTTTGTAATGATTTTTTTTAAATTTTGTATTTGGAGTTTGTAATGGATTTTTTTCAAATTTTGTATTTGAAGTTTGCAATGGGTACTACCTCTAATGACAGAAAGTTATTTACAACAGTTAAAATCGATAGTTTGTACCGTGCTATAATTTTTATCACAATTCGAACACACATGTAAATGCTCATAACATCTTATTTTTGATTTAAAATTGACAGTTAAAGTTCAAAGAATTTGTGCTTTTAGGCAATAAACTCCCAAAGTCAATTAAACGAAAGTCGACTTACA